CCCAGGATACAAATAGACCACTCTGCCATCACATTATCACTCTCAGATAACCTTAGCGAAGAAAGAGGGAAAGGATATTGGAAATGTAATGCCTCGCTGTTATACTAAAAGTAATGTGTGTCTAAATGTTCAGAAGATCTTACAAGAAACAAAAGCTGAATATGCTGATAATGACCAAATTGACGACAACGTTGAAGATATACATGACTTGGATCTTAAGTTAAAGATCTCTGAATGTTTATTCTTAGAGACATTACTTATGAAAATACGAGGTTACTGTATATCATTTCATCATTTATTAAAAAAAAGATAAATGTTTAACCAGCTCCAAAACCTAGAAATATAATAACTGAAATTGAAGACGATATTAGAAAAGAGTATCAAAATATAAATGAAAAGACACTTGGAGACCTCTCAAGACTAAGGCAAGAATTAGGATATATTAAAGAAGAAGAAGCCAGGGGACACCTTATAAAAACACGACTTAGGTGATATGAAGAAGGAGAAAAATCTTCAAATTATTTTTGCAATTTGGAAAACAGATTATACAAACAAACTAATCAATAAAGTGATGGATAGTAATAGCTGTACAATAACTGATGGAAAAGAAATAAGAAATGAATTAAGAACTTTTTATGAGACACTATACGCAGAGAAAATTGAAACTGACCATGAGATGGCAGAAAACATTAGAAACAATAGATAACCCGGAAATGAAAGACGATTTATACGATAGACTTGAAGAGCCAATCACGTTTGAAGAAACCGCAACAGCCGTAAAAAGCATGAAAAATAGTGAAAGCCCAGGAATCGATGGATATCCAGCAGAGTTCCTTAAGTTTTTTTGGAACGATATATGAAAATGGATTTTTAGGTTATTTCAGAAGCTTTTGTGGAATAAAAGCTATCGGATATACTGTAAACAGAGGTGTTATCACTTGTTTACCAAAAGCTAATTAGGATGGGAAATACTTGAAAGACTGGCGCCCTATTTCGTTATTAAACACTCTTTACAAGATCTTAAGCACATGTATTAACAATAGATTAAAAAACAGTGAGTATCTCATTGGTGGAAATCAAACAGGATTTATACCTGGGCGATGTATTACTGATAATATTAGAAACCTATATGATATAATATATGAACTGAAAAATCAGGACAGACAGGGCCTGTTACTTCTAATAGATTTTGAAAAGGCATTTGACACTGTTTCAAAACAACTGATACTCAAAGGGTTAAAGAAATTCGGTTTAAGGCCGAATATAAGATGGATTTGAATGAATTAAGATGGTTAACAATGCCAGTTCATGTGTTATTAAAAATGGCCATCTGTCCTCATTTTTTTTCAAAACGGATGGGGATGTCGTCAGGGCGATCCAGTGTCCCATTTCATTTTCTTTTTGTTGCAGGGTACTTGGAATTATGATTAGATATAATACTCACATAAAAGGAATAGAAATAAATAACAAAGAACATAAACTAGATCAATACGCTGATAACAGAACTTTTCCTCGATGGATCTGAAAATAGTTTGAAGACTGCTTTAGATACATTAGACACTTTTCACAAAATTTCTGGACTTAAGGTGAATATTGAGAAGATCAAAGCAATATAGCTAGGATCCAAGGCAGACTGTAAAGTAACATTATGTGGAGATGGAAAATTAAATTGGATAAACTCTGACTTTGAATTATTGGAGATTACTCTTAATTCGCAGTTGGACAATCTCTGGGTCATAAATACTAGAAAAAGACCAGAAACAATAAATAAACTATTGGCAAACTGGAGAAAAAGAAAACTGACTTTAATAGTTAAAATTATGTTAAAAACTCATTGATACTATCCACATTAGTTCATATATTCTCAGCCTTACCAAACCCAAACCCACCATGTTTAAGGAATGGTAAGCAGGATAAACAACCTTAATAAGATGAGTTGTTTAACTTTATCTAGGATGGTAAGCAGGATAAAATCAATCTGCGCAGAACTACTTGTAATAAGTCAGAGTGAGTGAGTTTCTTACGTTTTACGCCACACTCTCAGGGTCAATATTGCAGCGAGGATGGATGGTAGACGTCTGTAAATAATCGAGCCTGGACCAATCGTCTTAATCATCAGAACTAGTGATCCACAATATGAGCATCGATCTGCGCAATTGGGAACCGATGACATGTGTCAAAAAATTGAAGTCAGCGAGAAGACTGACCACCCGATCCCGTTAGTCGCCTCTTACGACAAGCATTCACATGGTATTAACTCAAGCTTTGCTCATTCTTTGTAAAATCCGAATATTGATCGCATTGGAATCTGTTTAAAGTATATTTGATAAATATTGCTACAAATGTGACAGTTCTTAACAATGTCTCTTGTCTCTCTGTACTTGAAAAGTACTATGAATGTACCATGTAACATTATTATTGCATATACTTTCATAAACATTGGTACACCTGCTGCCACGTTTTGTCATATGACATATCTGTTACAATGTGACTTTCTTTTCCTGCTCTTGAAACGTACTATAAATCTAGGAGGTAACCATACTACTGTATAAACCTGTGACAACAATTGATATACCTGTTACCACTACTTGACATATGTGATATTTATTGCAATGTTACCCTTGTGAATGTTTTCTCTCTGTGTGTTTTGGAAAAGCACCATAAAGGATTAGGTAAATGCATTACGGTACTAATACAGCATGGAATACAGCATCCGCTTATTACTTGCGGTTATCATGCATCCCCTGCCGACACAAACATAAAGCCCTCGGTTATCATGTATACTCCTGCTGACACAAACATACTACTACTCTTTACTACTACTACTACTACTACTACTATTACTACTACTACTACTACTATTACTACTACTACTACTACTACTACTACTACTACTACTACTACTACTACTACTAAAATTAATCAATTTTTTCAGCTACATTAAATCCCAAAGCAGATACTCAAAAATGACTTTAAAATATTTCTCAAACTGAACATTCGTGTAACGTTGCTATCACACCAACACTGGAATTTTAAATGAAATCGCTGAAAAACATATGAATGACCAAAAAAAGGTCAGACTAAAATCCACAGTGATGTGAAATATAAGCCCAATGTCAAAGACTAAAATATCCCCAGTGATGTATTATTGTTTTGATATATAAGTAGTAGTAATGTTAAAGATTAGTAAAGTAATGATAATAGTAGTAGTAATAGTTACAGAGAGAAATATAATATTATTGTTTTATTAAAGAAACCTTGTGTATCAACTGTAACCCTGGTGTACTGAAATAAAAAATAAAAAAGTATGAATTTTCTTGATAAGTATCATTCGTCACCACTCGCCCCTTTCCGTAACCTCCGATCGCTATTCGGCTTGTCCCGGAATATCACGAGTTGGTCACGAATGGATAAGTATTTGATACTGTCCTCCATGACACCCTAAACCCTACCATTATTGCAATGGTTGGCGTGTAATTAACTAGGTTTAGTTAGCGTATCTGACGAAAATTGAATGTCACATGCCTTTAATCGTTTGCAATTACCACGACAAAGTTAAAGTAGCAAATTGGAAACAGATTTCAGTTGCTGGACTTCCATTATTAGCCAGATCACCCTGTATATATATTGTTAAGGGGTACATTCTAATACTTGCACTATGTCTGCAAAAATGCTTAACGTATCTGATGTTATTTGTTGGAAAGTTATTTCATCCATATTAACAACAAATATTGTTTTGAATTTAACTGACTTTGTCATGTGTTGACAGACTTCCTACAAAATGCTACAAATGAAGAATGTTTTTGCACACTACCTGGCGCAGGTAAGAGAATGGAGCACTGCTTTATATTTGACTTAGGACGTGGAAACCAGAAAATGCCAAACTTAGGCGACTGAGTTTGTATGCTGGCGAGTAGGTGCCTGACTCTGGGGGTGTGGGTTCGAATCCCGGATGGAACTCAACCCTACAAAAGTACTAGAATCTGTACTTTACTAAGAAAGCGTAATCACAAATAAAACACATGCTACAAAACTGGACTTTTAAAAGTCAGATAACTTTGACTTTTGTGGTTTTTGTGATTAAAGTAATGTTGTTTCAGCTCAGACCAGACCTAAGTGTAGTATAACAGTGCAATTGCAACTTTTAATCTTTGGATATTTACAATATCGTCATTTGAAACACAAAAACAAAATCGTCCCACATAGTAAATGGGTGACAGACTAATTTGCATATCACGTGACCGGATTTTTCTCTTTTTTTAAACAAACGCGCATATTCGTAAATAGCTATAGGAAGAGACTGGCCAAATCAAGGTGGCCGCATGGAACTCTGAAACAGGTCGTGGAATGTTTCGAAAATAATCGTTCTCACTTTTGTGTGAAATATGGGAAAATATAATGTTAGAAACAAGTGCTAAAACAACTGCCGTATCTTGTAACAAGTTGAAAAAGAGTTCAAATGATAAAATACAACCTCTCCTTAAAACGGCCCTGTCGTTTCGTGTACTGCAAATGAGAGTCATTACATACATTCATTCGAAGAGTGTATGGTGGATACATAATGTGTAAGTTAAACGGTAGAACATAGATACAATTAAATTCATAAAATATCAATTTGGCTTTTAAAGAATATTAGGGACATTTTGTCTAAATTTTGGGAAACAATATAAATATAAATATTAACGTTCTTTATCTATTTATTCGTCAAAATAATCACTTTCTTCGTGTTTTATAATGCATTCATAAATCAAACAAATAAATAAAACGATATCTAGCTTGTAGTACACAACTTGCGCCTTTGTGCAGACAGTGCTTCAGCAATTTATATGCAAAGAAATTTCTACACATGCAAACGACTCATGACATATCACATGTATTCGAGAAGTGACATCATTTTATCAACCCAAAAATGATAAATATGTGCGTTATTCTGTCCCGTGCGTTCCTGTGAGAGGCAGATCCGTTTTTCGGGTAGAAATCGGAATTTTTGTACTAACCTATTAAGATCGTTACTCCATGCAAGGAATAATATGTAACAGCGTGATGTGGAGTTAAGTGCTTCGCTCAGCGATTGCGGCCAAATCTAACGATATTCTACAGGTTGGTCTGGAATGAACGTTTGGGTTTCTCAGCGTGACAGCATTACTGCATTATACGGTTTCATAAACACAACCAGCTCATAACTGAGGCGATTAAGTGAAATCAATTGTAATCGGAGAACTTAATTTAGAATTCGAAGCTTAAAATTTTACTACACATTCACCGTCTGTCATATCAGTCGAATGCCCTTCAGTTTACTGTGGAGTGTGTCTGTGTGTGCGTTCGTGCGTGTGTGCCTATATTTGTGAGACATGTCAACGGCCTGACCCCTCACTCTCACCGCCATCTGTAGCTACGTCAGCTTCATTAACCCTTGCATAACATAATTATCTGTCAATAAGTAATAATATCTGTTTCTATAATAATATATATAGTAGTATGTACATATACCTTACACCTCTCCAGTGTTGACACACATTGCTGACCAGAGGTTTTCATATTTTTTAAATTCAGATACTCAACACTCATGATATCCCAGCTGCATAAATCAATGCTCATTTATTTATTTTTTAATTAGTGGATATTTATATAGCGCACATATATCCATGCACTAGTGCATGCTCAAGGCGCTGAATTGCTCATGCATTTGATCACTATAGATTGTCTGGTTTAGATTCAGTTATTTACAGACCATCGTCATATAGCCAGAAAATTGATGAGTGCAGCGTTAAACAACGAACAAACATCTTCTTACCAGCATAGATTGCTAGCAGCAGGGTTTTATACAACACACAAATGCTGAGCACGAATGTGTGGAGTGAATGCTGAAATAATGTACTGCATTGCAATGTTCACAGAACAAATTGTCACCCAGACACCAGGAATGGGCTTCACACATTGTACCCATGTAGTGAATCGAACCTGTGTCTTCGGCATGATGAACGAACGCTTTTACCATTAGGCTACCCCACCACCCCTCATCAAGATCCGAGTTAGAATTGATCTTCAATAACCCATGTTTGTCATATGAGGCGACTAACGGGATCAGGTGGTCAGGCTCACTGACTTGGCTGACACATGTCATCGGTTCCCAATTGTGTAGATCGATGCTCCTGATGTTGATCACTGGATTGTTTGGTCGAGGCTCGATTATTTACGTCACTCAAGACCCATAACAATTTTAAGATGCCCCATCAAGGTAAAACTTTGTGGGGACCAGATCTAACTGGTTATTCGTACAAAGCAAAAGAAATGGACTTCAAGAGTTATAAGCAGTAAAACAGAGGTATTATTGTTCTTTTTTGCAGAGAATCTACAGCAGTACTTCACTTCAAGACGTTCAATGTGGCCAACAGTTTGCATCCTGAGTAACTGCAGTCGGATATTGCCTCTTATCATCAGATTACCTCCCCTTGCCCCTGCTCGGACAAGTAGGGCAGTGAGACAGCTACCAACGATGGCTACAGACTACAGTACTCTGGCTCAACCTAAGCCCATGGTGGGAGTGTGCCAGATCACAGCCAGAGCAGATAAAGAGGAGAACTTCAAGACATGTGTTTCACTGATCCAGAGAGCTAAAGCTAAAGGTGCACAGGTAAATGTTGAACTGCTGAAGAGATTGTAGGTTAATTTAGATTTAATGTGGGGTGAACATGATAGCACGTCATTATACAAAAATATTTCTCTGATGAAAAAAGTTTTTAATGTGAAATAATTTCAAAATTGTCACATATATTATCAGGTAAGCATTCTTGTATTTGTAAATTTGTTTTACATCAGAGAAAGATAGGTTAATTTAAATTTAATGTGGGGTTAACATGATGGCATTTCATTATACAACTCTGCTTAAAATTGTTATGCAAGCATATTTTTCCGGCTACCTGATTGGTCAAGAGGCGGTCACGTGACTGTTGACAGAAAAGCATATAGACTCCAAGCCAGGTCCGACCAAGTCATATTGACCTGAGTTACTATGACGTCAAGCTATGACATCATTCTATTGTTTACATGTCACAGTATTGTTGACATAACGTTATTGGTTTGTAGTGAAAATAAAATTACTTTTCTTTACTAAATGGACATGTTTTGGATTTTAGAAGCTTCGTCCTCGGTCATTATTGCTTTTCACAGGTAAACAGGTATTGACCTCATCACCAGTCTATAATTGTATAATATTCCTCTTATGAAAAGTTTGTAATGTGAAATAATTTCAAAATTGTCACATAGATTATCAGTTAAGCATTCTTGTATTTGTAATTTTGTTTTATGTCAGAGATTGGTCCAATCCGTTAGGCCTCAGGCAGCATAGAAACACATTGTAGTTAATGTTCTGACATGCTGTTGAAGGATGATCTGATTTGATTGATTATTTTTTGTAAATTTTAGGTGGTTAATGAACAATTATCACTTCTGATGGTATCACTGTACCTAATATATGTGCTTGAGTCCATTCCAAAATGTTATTTTAGTCATGATAGAAAGGACCATAGTTGACTAAGTACTGCTAAATGTTAAATTTAAAACCTGTCCCTTAAACATTCAAATTTAACTGACATTTAAATTAATGATAAACCACCTCAAAATGTACAACAGAATATAGGTATAGAAATAGGTACGAGACGTCTCCTAATAATGTCATGGCCGTAATATGGAGAATCATGCAGTCTGTCAGTGGAAGAATGACTTAATGTCCAATGTACATAGGTCTCTGACCAAATAAATATCCAATTTCTATGGTGACAAAGCAGGTTCTCCTATCTATGTGGTATAATCTGGCACCAGCTGTGCACTCGTAGAATGGTTGACAGGTATTTTCATGATTATAGCATGTGGCATTAACATTTTGCATTACTAGAATGTTGATGCCAACATAATTGCATTTGGAACTCTGTGCCAAATTTGTATTTTGTTAACACGGGAATTTATCAAGGAATGAAGAATTTGTACTCTTGGGTTTTATTTTGTATGGATATTTTAACAATATGTTAAAAATACATTATCCCAATATGGGTATAATGTGTGAAGCCCATTTCTGGTGTGATGATATTGCTTGAATGTTGCTAAAGGTGACATAAAACTATACTCACTCACTCACTAAAATACAATAAAGACAATTAACCTCCAGAAACTGTAACATTAGATAAAACTATAATGTAATTTACACTGTATTGGCACTCATCATCTCATCCCCACATGGCCATCAGTATATTCATTCATCAGATGCTTCGCTGAATCCTGTTGTTGAGTGTTTGTTTGCATGTTTGTTTGTTCATTTGTTTGTTTGTTGTTTAGCACCGTACTCAGCAATATTCCAGCTCTATGTCAGCAGCCTGTTAATAGTCCAGACAATCCAGTGATCAACGGCATGAGCATTGATATACTCAAATAGGGACACGATGACATGTGTCAACCAAGTCAGCGAGCCTGATCACACGATCCCATTAGTTGCTTCTTACGACAATCATGGGTTGCTATTTAGCTATAACAACATTAACCCTCTTAACCTCAGAGATTCAACTACTGTTGATAACGTATTTTCTCTGTGTCAGGGCCGCTGGGGTAGCCAAGTGGTTAAAGTGTTCGCTTGTCACACTGAAGACCCAGGTTCTATTCCCCACATGGGTACAATGTGTGAAGCCCATTTCTGGTGTCCCCAGCCGTGATATTGCTGGAATATTGATAAAAGCAGTGTAAAACTAGACTGTGTCTATATTATGTACAATTATATTTACAGAAATTACACTTTTGCATTTACTTTATCTTGTGAGTATTTTTTCCCTAACAGACTTTGTGTAGCACTTTTGTGAATTTAACATATGTGGCGTATTCTAGATGGTGTTTCTCCCAGAGGCGTGTGATTTCATCGGCGAGTCACGTGACCAGTCCATGAAGATGGCAGAACCACTGGATGGTGACCTCATCTCTAGATACCAACAAGTGGCTGTCGATACGAGAGTGTGGCTGTCTATTGGTGGATTTCATCAGCAGGTCTGTACACACTAAGATTAGACGAAGGCTGATTTCTCCATGATCTGGTAAAAGGGTCCAGTGATGGTCAAAACTATGAAGTTTGAGTTTTTTAGCTGGGAAAGATGATTCCCTACACACTTCAACAAGGGAAGGGCTGTTATCATGTTCTGTTGGTTCCAGCTGTATTTGCAGCTGCACAGAAAGTCAAGAATTGAGTGATATCACTGCTGGTTTAAATCATAAAGGAGCAATGTTATTTGATCAGGCAGCACCATGTTATTGAAACCAGGCTCATAAACAAATATAAGGTGTTTTGTTTGTTTGTTGTTTAACGCCGCACTCAGCAATATTCTCAGCTGTATGACAGCGAATCATGCCTGGACCTGACAATCCAGTGATCGACATCATGAGCACCAGACTATGCAATTGTGATAAGATAACATGCATCAACCAAGTCAGCACTCTGTATTTTTTCATATTCTCATACTCTCTGGTTTGATTAATACCAAAATTCCAGGAAATTATTGGACCTTTCATTGTACCTTGACTTTGTACATGTATTGACCAAAGCCTGGCCACCTGATCCCATCACTTCTAGTAACAAGGCTTGGCTCATAATGACCAATTCTAACCCAGATCTTGCTATCATACAGCTTGATAACTACTACCACATAACAAAATGCGAAATGTGAATTTTGATTCACGACACATGCCACAACACGATAACATGCGTCAACCAAGTCAGCAAGCCGATCCTGTTAGTGATCTCTTACGACAAGCATTGGTTGCTGAAGACCAATTCTAACCCAGATCTTCAAGTGTACAAATCTTAGGTGGGGAATTAATCCAGGGTATATACATGAATCATAATAGAGAAGTTCTACACTTGACAAATGAGGATGTTCTGGCTGAGTTTTTACAATCTTACATTCCCGAGGTGCTAAAAGTCAATCGGAACATTGCTGAATCATCTTTAAAAGCTCCATCTCCACGTTTCAGGGTCCGAAGAACGAGAAGCGCGTGCGGAACACCCATGTCATCATATCAAGTGATGGTGAAATTAAGGCTACCTACGACAAAAGTCATCTGTTTGACCTTGACATCAAGGACAAAGTGCGTCTATGTGAGAGCGACTATACTGTGCCGGGCAGCGAGATCGTGCCACCAGTAGATACACCTGTAGGACGACTAGGACTGGCCACTGTATCCTTCAGAGAAGGGTGTGAGTGAGTGAGTTTAGTTTTACGCCACACTCAACAATATTCCAGCTATATGGCGGCAGTCTGTAAGTACTCAAATCTGGACCAGACAATCCAGTGATCAACAGCATGAGCATGAATATACACAATTGGGATACAATGATATGTGTCAACCAAGTCAGTCCTGACCACCCAAACCCGTTAAACCGGATAACAACAAGCAAGGGTTACTGAAGATCAATTCTAACCCATTGGGATACACATCTTCACTGGTCAGCCACTCTACACTGCATATTACATTGTTGAGAGCTTTTGCAAATATTTTCAAGATAAATCATATTCTTCTTAACATCACATTCAATTATTTCATAGTATACCCTAAATGCAATATTTAGTGTAGGTAGATAACAGATCCTCAACCCTGAAATATTTTTTTAAAATTCACAATAAATATAGGTGAGCTTCTGTACCTTTGCTACTCTGGTATATGTATTTATCATATTCCTTTTACTCAGTGTCTGTCCAACTTCAAACCAGGCTGAAAGTAATGTTTACAAACACAAATTAATGAGAACAATAATGTATCTGCCAGTCCATATTTTCTTGTATAAATTTCATATTAATTACAGAAACTAGCAGAGCTACAGATTACTTTTTGGGTCATTGAGTTATGTACTCGCTTGTGTTCATCTCAGTTGGGTATCCTAATTTTCCTTTGAGTAACCAAATAAATGATACCCACCTACTCAAACACAATTGGGTATTTTGCCATTTTCCATTAATTGTAAAAATATAACAAAGTTTAATTGTTAGTTTACGTGTTTATTATTTATATTTGATCTGTAATATGAGAAACAATAAGAAAGACTTCAAGTTGCCAAGTTCATGTGCTGAAATAGAACCTCTCAATATACCTCAGTTATTCTATCTATCCTCAGTAACCTCCATCACATGTTTGTGTGTACGCTTGTAAGATCATATTTATTGAGTATTTACAAAAATTCAAGCATACTTGTACACACTAGACTTAATAGGAATTGAGTTTCACATAAATATTTGCTAAATTTACACGGATATGCAGCTTATCTGTACCTCTGAACCAGTTTGAGCAAAAGGGGAATATTGTCTGGTAACAATTTTGGAAAGTTTATTTTGTTAATGTTAAAAATAGGTAAATCTACTACTCCCCAATCTATAAATGTGTACATTTTGTGTATGTTTTAGTAAGTGTCCCTTTGGCAATTTTTGCCATAACACTCAACGCAGTATCCATCTATATTACGTGAACTTGGGACAAAGTTTAATACCAGTTTTTGGTGTACTTTGCCATGATTTTTCAGGAATATTGGTTAGAGCAGTGAAAAACCATCTCCCTCACTCATCCTTAACATTGCACAGTGTTATGACCTGCGGTTCCCTGAAATGTCCATAGCACTGACCCAGCAGGGAGCTCAGATCTTGTCCTACCCCTCAGCCTTCACACAGACCACGGGCATGGCACACTGGGAGGTAGGTCACCACTCTGACTAATGACCCAGCAGGGAGCTCAGATCTTGTCCTACCCCTCAGCCTTCACACAGACCACGGGCATGGCACACTGGGAGGTAGGTCACCACTCTAACTAATGACCCAGCAGGGAGCTGAGATCTTGTCCTACCCCTCAGCCTTCACACAGACCACGGGCATGGCACACTGGGAGGTAGGTCACCACTGAGGTGTTCACTAATGACCCAGCAGAGAGCTCAGATCTTGTCCTACCCCTCAGCCTTCACGCAGACCATGGGCATGGCACACTGGGAGGTAGGTCACCACTCTGTTCACTAATGACCCAGCAGAGAGCTCAGATCTTGTCCTACCCCTCAGCCTTCACACAGACCACGGGCATGGCACACTGGGAGGTAGGTCACCACTGAGGTGTTCACTAATGACCCAGCAGGGAGCTCAGATCTTGTCCTACCCCTCAGCCTTCACACAGACCAAGGGCATGGCACACTGGGAGGTAGGTCACCACTGAGGTGTTCACTAATGACCCAGCAGGGAGCTCAGATCTTGTCCTACCCCTCAGCCTTCACACAGACCACGGGCATGGCACACTGGGAGGTAGGTCACCACTGTAACTAATGACCCAGCAGGGAGCTGAGATCTTGTCCCACCCCTCAGCCTTCACACAGACCACGGGCATGGCACACTGGGAGGTAGGTCACCACTGAGGTGTTCACTAATGACCCAGCAGAGAGCTCAGATCTTGTCCTACCCCTCAGCCTTCACGCAGACCATGGGCATGGCACACTGGGAGGTAGGTCACCACTGAGGTGTTCACTAATGACCCAGCAGAGAGCTCAGATCTTGTCCCACCCCTCAGCCTTCACACAGACCACGGGCATGGCACACTGGGAGGTAGGTCACCACTGAGGTGTTCACTAATGACCCAGCAGGGAGCTCAGATCTTGTCCTACCCCTCAGCCTTCGCACAGACCAAGGGCATGGCACACTGGGAGGTAGGTCACCACTGAGGTGTTCACTAATGACCCAGCAGGGAGCTCAGATCTTGTCCTACCCCTCAGCCTTCGCACAGACCAAGGGCATGGCACACTGGGAGGTAGGTCACCACTCTAACTAATGTCCCAGCAGGGAGCTCAGATCTTGTCCTACCCCTCAGCCTTCACACAGACCACTGGCATGGCACACTGGGAGGTAGGTCACCACTGTAACTAATGTCCCAGCAGGGAGCTCAGATCTTGTCCTACCCCTCAGCCTTCACACAGACCAAGGGCATGGCACACTGGGAGGTAGGTCACCACTCTAACTAATGTCCCAGCAGGGAGCTCAGATTTTGTCCTACCCCCTCAGCCTTCACACAGACCAAGGGCATAGCACACTGGGAGGTAGGACACCACTCTAACTAATGTCCCAGCAGGGAGCTCAGATCTTGTCCTACCCCTCAGCCTTCACACAGACCACGGGCATGGCACACTGGGAGGTAGGACACCACTCTAACTAATGTCCCAGCAGGGAGCTCAGATCTTGTCCTACCCCTCAGCCTTCACACAGACCAAGGGCATGGCACACTGGGAGGTAGGACACCACTGTAACTAATGTCCCAGCAGGGAGCTCAGATCTTGTCCTACCCCTCAGCCTTCGCACAGACCACGGGCATGGCACACTGGGAGGTAGGACACCACTCTAACTAATGTCCCAGCAGGGAGCTCAGATCTTGTCCTACCCCTCAGCCTTCACACAGACCACGGGCATGGCACACTGGGAGGTAGGTCACCACTGTAACTAATGACCCAGCAGAGAGCTCAGATCTTGTCCTACCCCTCAGCCTTCACACAGACCACTGGCATGGCACACTGGGAGGTAGGGTTACTCTCTGTGGGAGACGGTACATCCACTGAGGCGTTCACTAAAACCATGTGACAATATGAGGCGTGATATTGGTAGTCATGCCACGTGAAATACGTGGTGTATTTAAGTTTGGGGGTGATGATATATCATGGAAGTTCAAGATAATGGCTGAAGCCTGAAGCCCTGACAGGTGTGACAGATTCCAGGCAGTTCTGTGTTCCAGGGGTTGAACTAGTCTGTCTCACAGTCCCTGAACAGCATTATTTTCCCTTCTCCCTAGCCCTCCCTGCAATGCTAAAGCCCCAACTGAAACAAGTCTAGATTTCCTCAGGTTCAGGAGTCTGAATTTCCATTCTCACTGGGGCTTCTTTTCAGTTTAAACAGACTTGTTTATGTAATCAGAGACTGAGCATTAGTCTAGGGTTTACCTGGCTTAGTCATATTCCAGAGTTTGGGACATGACCACGATGGTGAGATGTCAGGCTTCATTTGATGTCATATAATGTCATGTAATGTCAGTTTTGTCATATGTAATGTAATGTCAGTACTGTCATATAATGTCATGTCATATCCGTAATGTCATATAATGCCATGTTATATAATGTTATGTCATGTCGTATAATGTCATGTAATATCTTTACTGTCATATAATGTCATGTAATATCCGTAATGGCATGTAATGTTTTATGTACGGTCATAATGGCATGTAATATCCGTAATGGCATATAATGTCATGTAATGTTATATAATGTCATGTCATGTCGTATAATGTCATGTACTGTCATATGATGTCATGCTATGTCAGTAATGTCATATAATGTCTTGTAATGCCATGTAATGTCTTATAATGTCATGTAATGTCAGTAATGTCATATAATTTCAATTAATATCAGGAATGATAGTTGCATCAGCTTATAAGCTATTAAGCATGGCAGAAATACAGATCATTGTAAATGTACAGACACACCTTTGATTCAACTTCTCTTACATTTTCCATTGTTTTGAAGTATTGGGGAAATCTTTTGGAACTCAAACTGTATGACTGCTGATCTGTTCCATGTATGATTCTGTCTCTACGTTCCTGTACAGGTGTTGCTGAGAAGCCGGGCTATTGAGAACCAGTGCTATGTGGTTGCCGCTGCCCAGACAGGGAGACACAACGCCAAGAGGACATCATACGGTCATGCCATGGTAGGAGACATGTGGTCATGCCATGGTAGGAGACATGTGGTCATGCCATGGTAGGAGACATGTGGTCATGCCATGGTAGGAGACATGTGGTCATGCCATGGTAGGAGACATGCGGTCATGCCATGGTAGGAGACATGTGGTCATGCCATGGTAGGAGACATGTGGTCATGCCGTGGTAGGAAACATGTGGTCATGCCATAGGAGACATATGCCATGGTAGGAGACATGTGGTCATGCCATGGTAGGAGACATGTGTCATGCCATGGTAGGAGACATGTGGTCATGCCATGGTAGGAGACATGTGGTCATGCCATGGTAGGAGACATGTGGTCATGCCATGGTAGGAGACATGTGGTCATGCCATGGTAGGAGACATGTGGTCATGCCATGGTAGGAGACATGTGGTCATGCCATGGTAGGAGACATGTGGTCATGCCATGGTAGGAGACATGTGGTCATGCCATGGTAGGAGACAGGTCATGGTCATGCCATGGTAGGAGACATGGTCATGCTATGGTAGGAGACATGTGGTCATGCTATGGTAGGAGACATGTGGTCATGCCATGGTAGGAAACATGTGGTCATGCCATGGTAGGAGACGTGGTCATGCTATGTTAGGAGACATGTGGTCATGCTATGGTAGGAGACATGTGGTCATGCTATGGTAGGAGACATGTGGTCATGCCATGGTAAGAAACATGTGGTCATGCTATGGTAGGAGACATGTGGTCATGCTATTGTAGGAGACATGTGGTTCCGAGACGTGGTCATTTTCTGCAAATCCTGCTGTTACAGAAACTGAAATATTCTAAGGAATAGTTAGCTTTAGATTAATGACATCTATCCCACTATTATTCTCATGAGAATGCTGTAAATCAACTCTTATATGATATGTCAAGATCACATTCTTGGTCTGTAAAGTCATTTCTGGTGCTGTGATCAAGATTTTATGTGCCCATCAGATCGTGGACCCTTGGGGCCATGTCGTGAGTGCTTGCCGTGATGGAGTGGACGTCTGTGTGGCGGAGGTGGACACAGCATACGTGGACAAAGTGAGGGAGGAGATGCCAGTGTCGCAACATCGTCGACATGACCTATATGGTCATATACACACCGCAGCCAAGGGTGAGTCTTGCGATCCCCATGAGATTAGCACCTGCCAACGTCACACACATACTGACTACACAAAGATTAAAGAGGATGTTATGATCGAAGCATTAAAGCAATATAGTAATAAAGTGCAAAAACATTTAAGCATTTATAACCACCCATTTTGGAAATGAGATAATTGTGATTCATACAGGGAAGCTTAGGTGATATGGGCTTGTATTTTAATGTTGTTTTGCAATATTGGACATTGTAGTGTCAAGACAGACTGAGTTAACGTGGATTTCACCTGTTTAGTTGTCTAATTTGACACCTCAGTACAGGTGCCTTGTTGAAACCCAAGAATAAAGAAAATCTATAATTCAGTCCTGTCCGTGTATTTTAAGATTGTTCTATTTTGGGGGTTATTATGTTAAGGGAGTTGATAACATAGATTTTGGTATCTTAAGGTAAAGTTCTTGTCCTCAGTCCTTGCAGTTGAATACTAACATGGTTTCAGGCAAGGCTGATGACAGTCCGGAGTACAAATTTGGCCAGCACAGCATCAAATCTAGCAACGTTTTCTACAGATCAGCTCTGTCGTATGGTTTTGTGAACCTCAAACCCCTCTTGCCAGGACGTATCCTTCTCTGACATGTACAAGTGTATAACTTTTTTAAAGTCATTGGCACAAAGGCAATATAAATTCTGGACATTTTTAAGAAATATCAGAATGAGAGCCATGTATTTTTGTCAGATGCTCCACATTCCGCTTTAAGAGAAAAGTAGGTTCTGTTGATCTTTTATCAGTTTGGTAGTTCATTAGAAAAATGTCTTTTTTGAAAATGTGTTGTTTTTTATAAATAAGGCCAGACAAATTTTATTTCATGTTTTACCTAATTTTCTCCTCAAATAACCTAAAGGCAGGAGGGAAAAATAAAAAAAATAAAAATCACCATTCAAAGTAATATTCCTTCTAAATAATAAAAGTATTTTACTTTTGGCAATTTATGAAGTGTATATTGGGTAAAAAACAATCTAAAAAAAACTTTCTTGTAAGGTACATTTTTGGCCAATGCAAACATCAGGATTATATTTTTTGAGCAGGGAAATCTTTTTTTATATTTTTTTACTTATTCTTGTAAAAATACGACCGGCAGATCTGTAAAGCAAGAAATAAAAATTGGTCTGGCCTAATGAAGAATAATAAGAGCCATTATGTAGTGTTGTACTGACCAACATGGTTTATACAAGTTGTAGTGTACAGTTGTATATACAGGAGAACAAACTTGGGTGAAGATCGTTTTCTTGACCATCTTGAGATGTGCTTGTATCACCCCTGAGACCAGCAGAGAGATTTTCCGACCTGACAGCTGCCGAGGTGGCTGACCTGTTCTCGGCTGTACAGGTCATCACACGGGTCATTGAGAAACACTACAATGCCACGTCAGCCACAGTTGCCATTCAAGATGGCCCTGAAGCAGGTCAAACGGTCATGGTCAGTAACATTTAGTAGCTCTGTGTCTTAAAACCTTCAGGTCACGGACACAAACTGTGTGGCCTTGGAAGCCCCATTTGTTAATCACTATGGCAGGTGAGATGGCCATGGCCAGTAATAGTTGATATCAATGTAAGGTCACACACAAAATGCCTTGTCAGATGTCAGCAGGTTTGTTAATTCTTCTACATGTGGAGTCTGGGTTGTCAACCTTTCTCTCTAGTAGCTTCGGTTTTACAGGGGTCGGTGGGGTAGCCTAATGGTTAAAGCGTTTGCTCATCACGCCGAAGACCCGGGTTCGAATCCCCACATGGGTACAATGTGTGAAGCCCATTTCTGGTGTCCTCCACCGTGATGTTGCTGGAATATTGCTAAAAGCGGCGTAAAACCAAACTCAGTCAGTCAGTCAGTCAGTTTTACAGTGAGTGAAGTTTAACACCTCTTTAAGCATTCCAGTAATATCAAGGGACACCAGAAATAGGCTTGACACATTGTACCCATGTGAGAACCAAACCCAGGCCTTCAGTATGGCAGGTGAACAGTATTTAGCAAAAGACTACACTATCTGATATGTACCATTGACCCTGACACCACCATAGCTTTGTTTTCAGACAAAGGCACTGAAGCATCTCCAAACTCAGTTACACCACTTTCTATCCTTACAGCAGGATTCTTAGCTGACAATGTTTGTTGACTGTTGATAGCAATTGGATGATTGTTAAATAAAGAATCACACCTATATTGATAAGGTTGATATATTTAACTTCAGAATGTATGAGATTCTATGTATGCTTTAAAATCATTCTCTCAACTGTTTTAGTTTGTAAACAATAATAACAAGTGTAAAATGTACACAAGCTTCTTCTGCCTGATGTCTTAGTGATGTCATATGATTGTGATGTCATGGCAGTCGATGATGTCACAGTGGTCTGCAAAGGATTATTATGCAATTTCATGGTTGTAATATTTCTCCCAATTGACCTTTGTGTGGTGTTTCTGTTTCCAGCATGTGCATGTGCATATTCTGCCCCGGAAGAAGGGAGACTTTGAGAAGAATGATGACATCTACACCAAGGTAAAGTTCACTTGTAATTCAACTCTATCAAAATATTCTTCGTGAAATTGCGTATTAGCTGAAAGTCCTACAAGTCTTTTATGGAAAGAAAAAGTTTTCAGAAAACTGACCAAGATAAAGTATATCCCCAGTATATGTGTCCAAAGATGAAGTATATCCGCAGTATATGTGTCCAAGGATAAAGTATATCCCCAGTATATGTGTCCAAGGATAAAGTATATTCACAGTATGTGTCCAAAGATAAAGTATATCCTCAGTATGTGTATCCAAAGATAAAGTATATCCCCAGTATGTGTATCCAAGGATAAATATCCCCAGTATGTGTATCCAAGGATAAAGTATATCCCCAGTATGTGTATCCAAGGATAAAGTATATCCCCAGTATGTGTATCCAAGGATAAAGTATATCCCCAGTATGTGTATCCAAGGATAAAGTATATCCCCAGTATGTGTATCCAAGGATAAAGTATATCCCCAGTATGTGTATCAGTATGTGTATCCAAGGATAAAAGTATATCCCCAGTATGTGTGTCCAAGGATAAAGTATATCCCCAGTATGTGTGTCCAAGGATAAAGTATATCCCCAGTATATGTGTCCAAGGATAAAGTATATCCCCAGTATGTGTATCCAAGGATAAAGTATATCCCCAGTATGTGTATCCAAGGATAAAGTATATCCCCAGTATGTGTGTCCAAGGATAAAGTATATCCCCAGTATGTGTGTCCAAGGATAAAGTATATCCCCAGTATGTGTGTCCAAGGATAAAGTATATCCCCAGTATGTGTATCCAAGGATAAAGTATATCCCCAGTATGTGTGTCCAAGGATAAAGTATATCCCCAGTATGTGTGTCCAAGGATAAAGTATATCCCCAGTATAAAGTGTATCCAAGGATAAAGTATATCCCCAGTATGTGTATCCAAGGATATAAGTATAAGGATAAAGTATATCCCAGTATGTGTGTCCAAGGATAAAGTATATCCCCAGTATGTGTATCCAAGGATAAAGTATATCCCTATGTGTCCAGTATGTATCCCCAGTAGTATTCCCATGTGTCCAAGGATAAAGTATATCCCCAGTATGTGTGTCCAAAGATAAAGTATCTCCCCAGTATGTGTGTCCAACGATAAAGTATTTCCACAGTATATGTGTCCAAGGATAAAGTATATCCCCAGTATGTGTATCCAAGGATAACATATATCCCCAGTATGTGTGTCCAAGGATAAAGTATATCCCTAGTATGTGTGTCCAAGGATAAAGTATATCCCCAGTATGTGTGTCCAAGGATAAAGTATATCCCCAGTATGTGTGTCCAAGGATAACATATATCCCCAGTATGTATATCCACAGTATCCAAGGATAAAGTATATCCCCAGTATGTGTATCCAAGGATAACATATATCCCCAGTATGTGTATCCAAGGATAAAGTATATCCCCAGTATGTGTGTCCAAGGATAAAGTATATCCCCAGTATGTGTATCCAAGGATAAAGTATATCCCCAGTATGTGTGTCCAAGGATAACATATATCCCCAGTATGTGTATCCAAGGATAAAGTATATCCCTAGTATGTGTGTCCAAGGATAAAGTATATCCCCAGTATGTGTATCCAAGGATAAAGTATATCCCCAGTATGTGTGTCCAAGGATAAAGTATATCCCCAGTATGTGTGTCCAAGGATAAAGTATATCCCCAGTATGTGTGTCCAAGGATAAAGTATATCCCCAGTATGTGTGTCCAAGGATAAAAGTATATCCCCAGTATGTGTGTCCAAGGATAAAGTATATCCCCAGTATGTGTGTCCAAGGATAAAGTATATCCCCAGTATATGTGTCCAAGGATAAAGTATATCCCCAGTATGTGTGTCCAAGGATAAAGTATATCCCAGTAAAGTATATGTGTCCAAGGATAAAGTATATCCCCAGTATGTGTGTCCAAGGATAAAGTATATCCACAGTATGTGTGTCCAAGGATAAAGTATATCCCCAGTATATGTGTCCAAGGATAAAGTATATCCCCAGTATATGTGTCCAAGGATAACATATATCCCCAGTATGTGTGTCCAACGATAAAGTATTTCCACAGTATATGTGTCCAAGGATAAAGTATATCCCCAGTATGTGTGTCCAAAGGATAAAGTATATCCCCAGTATGTGTGTCCAAGGATAAACGTATATCCTCAGTATGTGTGTCCAAGGATAAAGTATATCCCCAGTATGTGTGTCCAAAGATAAAGTATATCCTCAGTGTATGTCCAAGGATAAAGTATATCCCCAGTATGTGTGTCCAAAGATAAAGTATATCCACAGTATATGTGTCCAAGGATAAAGTATATCCCCAGTATGTGTGTCCAAGGATAAAGTATATCCCCAGTATGTGTGTCCAAAGATAAAGTATATCCACAGTATGTGTGTCCAAGGATAAAGTATATCCCCAGTATGTGTGTCCAAGGATAAAGTATATCCCAGTATATGTGTCCAAGGATGAAGTATATCCCCAGTATGTGTGTCCAAGGATAAAGTATATCCCCAGTATGTGTGTCCAAAGATAAAGTATATCCCAGTATGTATGTGTGTTTCCAAGGATAAAGTATATCCAGTATATCCAAGGATAAAGTATATGTGTCCAAGGATAAAGTATATCCCCAGTATGTGTGTCCAAGGATAAAGTATATCCCCAGTATGTGTGTCCAAGGATAAAGTATATCCCCAGTATGTGTGTCCAAGGATAAAGTATATCCCAATATATAAACTATGTCCAGTATGTGTGTCCAAGGATAAAGTATATCCCAGGTATATGTGTATCCAAGGATAAAGTTTATTCCCAGTATGTGTGTCCAAGGATAAAGTATATCCACAGTATGTGTGTCCAAGGATAAAGTATATCCACAGTTTGTGTGTCCAAGGATAAAGTATATCCCCAGTATGTGTGTCCAAAGATGAAGTATATCCGCAGTATGTGTGTCCAAGGATGAAGTATTTCCACAGTATGTGTGTCCAAGGATAAAGTATATCCCCAGTATGTGTGTCCAAGGATAAAGTATATCCCCAGTATGTGTGTCCAAAGATAAAGTATTTCCCAGTATATGTGTCCAAGGATCCCCAATGGATCTAAGGATAAAGTATATCCCCAGTATGTGTGTCCAAAGATAAAGTATTTCCTCAGTATATGTTTCCAAGGATAAACTATATCCCCAGTATGTGTGTCTAAGGATAAAGTATATCCCCAGTATATGTTTCCAAGGATAAAGTATATCCCCAGTATGTGTGTCCAACGATAAAGTATTTCCACAGTTTGTGTGTCCAACGATAAATTTTTCCACAGTATATGTGTCCAAGGGTAAAGTATTTCACCATTATATGAGTACTAGTATGTCCCTAGTCTGGTTTCTGGTTTGAAAAAGGAGACAAGAGATTGGATATATTTGAAATGGTTGCTTGTTATATATCATAAGTGGATGGGTGACGGCCATCTTGGAGGGTTGGGTAACATTCACTGCATCATTTTGTGTGGATTTTTGCTTTCAATAAAGATTAATAGTTTGAATGGAAACAATCTTAATTAGGTTTTGGGGTCTGTTGACAGTTGGAGGAGCATGATCGAGAAATTGGCTCAGACAGAATACTGAGGACAGAGGAGGAGATGGCAGCAGAGGCTCTGACACTCCGACCTTACTTCACATAGTGTTTAAAGATGAGATGAGGCTCTCCTGTCCACACCCTACTGCTTAACACCATCATCACCAGTGAGGCTCTCCCCCATCTCTTACTTGACACCACCATCATCACCCAAGTGATGAGGTTGGGTGATGAGGCTCTCCTTCCACCGCTTATCTAACACCACCATCGTCACCAACAGATGAAGTGCTTACATCCTTGTAGTCAAGAGATGTTCTTATCATTAACATAGAATGTACAAGGAGTATGTGTATAGTTGTGAAGATAACACTAGCGTTCTGAGTGGGCATGTCAAGTTGCAATATAGAGACAAAGGTGTTTATATAAGTGTTCAAGACAGGAGTGTTTCTTAAGATGAACTTTTGTTTAAACAGACAGATATATCTATGATGAACAGCTTACTGATTACGGAGACTGTACAAGAATTCCAGACATCACTGATGATTCCGTGTTTATATACTACCAGTACTCCATTGAAGTAAAGTAATTAAACTTACATGCAGGTACATTATTGTGATATTTATTGATTTTACAATGAATAAAACTAATGATGAAGATCATATGTATTATTTTCATGATTTATGCTCTCCCATTAATCCTGTGAAGATTCGGGTTCAAAATCCCATGTGAACGTAAGGCCTGACTAACAAGATTGGGTGCTCCGACTTACTGACTTGGGTGATGCATGTCATCATATCCAGTTGTGTAGATCAATGGTCCTGCTATCAGGCACAGGATTATCTGGCCCAGACACTTTTATTTTTATTTATTTTTTTTTATAATTTTTTATGGATAACGGACAACAGACACTTTTTTTCTTTATTTTTATGGATAACGGACAACAGACACTTTTATTTATTTTTATTTATTTATTTTTTTATGGATAACGAACAGACACTTTCATTTTATTTATTTTTTAATATTATTTTTGGTTTTTTATGGATAACGGACAACAGACACTTTTATTGTTTTTCTTTTCTTTTATTTTCTTTTTTATGGATAACGGACAACAGACACTTTTGTTAACAAACCGTCATGTAGTTGGAATATTGCTGAGTATTTTATTGAACAATCAACAAATGGGACTGAAGGGGAGGATAGTTCCACAATAGATATTGACATGAGACAAGGAGAAATACAGACACCAATCCTCACTGCCAGACTGGCTGGTTGATGCTACACCACTGCCGATTGTACATTTCTTCGTACAACACTTGGGGCAACAGTTTCTGTATGAAGCACTTATTGTTGATTCATTATTTCACTCTTGGACATTGTAATGCTTTGTGTTTATGCTGCAGATGTGCATGTTTCGTCATGAACTGTACGTACCTATAATGTTTTGAAAGTTCACGTGATGAGATTTGTATAGTCAACGTAATTTGAGCTTCTGCAACATAACCAACACTGGGTGTACTGCAAAGTTCAAGACAAGCTGTCCATCTGGATAAAATATCCACATAAAGCGGCTATACACTATTAGATTTGCGTTGAAATGTACACAAGCAACTGTTGCCCCAAGTAAACAGTTACTGCATACGGAAACTGTATTTATCACTTACGCAAGTTTACCGTGAAGATCCGGATTAGAATATTGATCTTCAGTAACCCATGCTTGTCGTAAGAGGCGACTAACGGGATCGGGTGGTCAGGCTCGCTGACTTGGACACATGTCATCGGTTCCCAATTGCGCAGATCGATGCTCATGCTGTTGATCACTGAATTGTTTGGTCCAGACTCGATTATATACAGACCGCCGCCATATAGCTGGAATTTTGGAGTGTGCGGCTTAAAACTCAAAGAAAAGAGGAGCCTAGTGGTTAAAGCGGTCGCGCGTCACGCCGAAAACCACGGTTCGATTCCCCACAATGTGTGAAGCCCATTTCTGGTGTCCCCCGCCGTGACATTGCTAAATATTGCTAAAAGCGGCGTAAAAATCACTCACTCACTCACTTGAAACATTGGTCTGGCGCCGTCATGCTGGTAAAAGACACCACGAAGCAGCCGTCGAATGTCATCCATGAAATACTAATTAAGCTGTCACTACCTTGAAAAAAGTCCATTTTTTTGTCTTGGAAACTAAAATTGTGCGCATAAAAAAAAATAACAGCAAAAGGCACCACTAGTTTTCGAGAAAAGTAAGCTGTTCAGGTCATACAGGAATATTTTATTGCAACTGAGGGGCGGTGGGTAGCCTAGTGGTTAAAGCGCTCGCTCGTCACGCCGAAAACCCGAACACACAATGCATACAATGTGTGAAGCCCGTTTCTGGTGTGGCCCGCCGTGATATTGCTGGAATATTGCTGAAAGCGGCGTGGAAATAAACTCACTATTTCACGACTACAGCTGAAGATGTCTTCCAACATGACATTCAAGATAACCTGAATGTTCCCTCTGTAAAGGGGTCTACTTATTCACAGTGGACTTCTGAAAATGTTTTAAAGGAAGCACAAGTCTGATTTAAGGGGTGGGGTGGGGGTGGTGGGGGCTAATGGTTAAAGCGTTGGCTAGTCGCACCGAGGACCCGGGTTCGAGTCCCCACATGGGCACAATGTGTGAAGCCCATTTCTGGTGTCCCCCGCCGTGATGTTGCTGGAATATTGCTAAAAGAGGCGTAAAACCAAACTCAGTCAGTCAGTCTTTTGATGGGCATCACGTGCTCGACAACGACATTAGAATCTATGTCGAAACGTCGCCTTTCACAGCATAAAGAAGTTGTATATGTTACAGTAAATGTGTCAAATCAGGAAATGTGTAAATTTCCTGGAATATTTAGGAAATGTGTACATTTCCTCATTCACTCAGTATATGTACACATTTCCTAAATATTCCAGGACATTTACAAATTTCCTGATTTGAGGGCCTGATTCTTTGACACATTTCCTGATATGAAGTTTTGCTTAATTTGCAATAAAAACTGGCTGGCTGGCTGAGTATGGTTTTACGCCGATTTTAGAAATATTCCAGCAATATCACGGCGGGGGACACCAGAAATGGGCTTCATAAGTTGTACCCATGTGGAGAATCGAACCCGGGCCTTCGGCGTGACGAGCGAACGCTTTAACCACTAGGCTACCCCACCGCCCCGCAATGAAAACTGGAGAATGGGCCAATATATGCTAATTATTTAAAAAGCCAGTCACATAACTTTTTGTGGAAATGCGGTGAACATGATCAACATAGTACCATATTTAATATATATTTTTTTATCTCTGTTGAACTTGTAATAAATATGCTGAATGAACATAACGTCTTGTCTAATTGATTCTACTGGACTGATCCATTATAAGAAATAGGTATCAGCTGGAGGATTAGTTGTGCACTGAACCAGAAATGTTGTTTTAAGCTGTCTAAGATATAGCGGTCTAAGTATTGGGAGGTTACCGTTACAAAGCAGGACTTAAGTGTAATAGCCGTTGTCCATTAAGCTTGAATTGCCACAATAAATGAGTTCGTGTAAAACTGATGATTTTGATTGTCCTTTAAATCGAAGCTGTATTATTTGAGATAGCAAAAAATCATATCAGGAAATGTGTAAAAAAATCAGGCCCTCAAATCAGGAAATTTGTAAATGTCCTGGAATATTTAGGAAATGTGTACATTTACTGAGTGAATGAGAAAATGTACACATTTCCTAAATATTCCAGGAAATTTAAACATTTCCTGATTTGACACATTTACTGTAACATATATCCATAAAATTATTATCATTCTTCAAAGGCAGAATAACAAAAGGCACTTTTGAGTTTTTACTGTTTTACAAGTTTTACCCCAGAAGCGAATCCCGTATTAAATCTACTGTATAACTTACAAAAGGCGGTTACCCAACCGACACTCAGACGCCGAGGAGAAAGAATTGAAACAAATTGAAAAAAGAGCGTCATGCAAAGCACTCGGTCAAAGCATATTGGGATACGATGACATTTGTGGGCCAAGTCAACTAGCCTGATCACTCGATCCCGTAAGTCAACGTTTAGGAAAAGCATGGCTTACTGAAGATCAATTCTAACCCGCATCGCCATGGGTCCGTAGACCGCCTCCTTGTTGTAGTGGTTAGAGCGTCCGCCCGGAGAGCGGAAGGTCGCGGGTTCGATCCCCGGCCACGTCATACCAAAATATGGTACTTGTTGGTCCCTGTCTGGCACTCGGCATTAATGGGTACAACACCGGACTGATCTGCTCGGAGTCAGTATTATGTGGTTGAGTGGGGTATTCATGTTTTAATAACTGCGGCATGGTATCTCAGTGAGCTAGCACTATAACACCAGCTTTAGACTGGGCTAGTACAAGCAGACACACATACATACGCATGTACGTCGTCATATGAGCGAAATATTCTTAAGTGCGACGTTAAACCCAATTTCACCTCACCTCATAGGTCCGTAACCATTACCAGTACTGGTACGACGCTTATGCAGGGATGACTCCGCGGTGATGTGTCTGCACGGCGCCAATACACTCTCTGGTACCAAGAGGACAACATATTCGGCCACCAAGGAGGGGTACAGAAACATCTTCATGTAATACTGTATGACTCGATTAGCCATATCTTCAGAGTTAGGAAGTAGAGTGGAATAACCAAGATTGAGTGGTTATATTGAATTTAAGTTTGTTATCTTGTTGTGATGTAGCTCTTAATACGACTGACATTTTGTAACCGAGGAAAAGAACATATACTGCATTGTCACTGCTTTGGAAGCATGTCATGTTAGAGACATTCGGCCATCCAAGGGGTACAGAAACATCTATATGTATGCGGTATGGCTCGTATAGCCATACCTTCAGGATGTAGAGTGGGGTAACCAAGGCTTCGTGGTTCAAGCCCGGGGTAGAAGGGCCAGGTTTGATTCCCCGCATGGCTGCAATGTGTGAAGCCCATTTCTTGAGTATTGATCGAAGCTCACTTAAAATTATACTGTACTTTTTACAGAAGAGGTAGTATAGTTTTACGCCGCTTTTTGCGATGTTCCAGCAGCATCACGACGGTTGACAAAGCAATGGGCTTCACACATTGTACCGATGTGGGGAATCTAGCCCGGGTCTTTAGCGTGAAGAGCGAACGCTTTAACCCCTGGGCTAATTAACCTATCGCTCCTTTTACAATAGAAATAGACGATGGGAAAAAATGTCCTTTCATTATCTTATGTCACTGTTTATGGTGTAAAATGTATATACTTGACATTTTTTATAAATAGACACCAAGGCTACGAGAACGCATGTCACCGTTTTGTCACTTGGAACCCAAACTAAACAGTATGTCATCGCGCGTATTTACAATCAAATTAACCATAAGTCAGTACGTCCCATCGTAAAACATTATAAGCGCCAAAGAAAATGATAAGAAGTAGTAGGAAATTTGAAACAAAGCTTTCATAAGGAATTTTCTTTTATTGCAGCGGAAATATGCGACATTCCATTTATCCTTTCCATGCTGGATCCTTCTTTTTGTCAGCTGGAGGTGTGTCGCTAGAGGCGAAGATCATTGGTCAGACTCTTTACCTTGACCTTTGAAACCAACATGGCATCCATTGGCACGCTGAAGGTAAACTGCATGCTATCGTTGCTTTGTACGAAAGCCGAACCGAAACATTTTGATGAAACAGAAGACAAAATATCATTTTATCATTGTTACTTTGTGTTTCATATAAACGTCTCAGTATCTTGTAGCGACATCGTATATTATTTAGACAAATAGAGGATGATCCTTCTCTCACCTGACTGAAACTGAAAGACCAACTTCACTAATGGAGTAAGATTTGTGGTCTACATTGTGATTAATAATCATGACATTCGTATTATTTTGAAATACCTTTTAAATACGTTGAGCTTGTTGTTTTGTTGTGACATAGCTTTCAATACGACTGGCTTTTTGTAACATAGAAAAACCATATACGCAAATATTGCAGTGACATTTGTTATGAAACATGTTATGCTAGAGGAAAATGGGACGCACATGTGAATGGTTATCTCTGAAATTTGTTGACCTGTTGATTTTAGATGTTTAATATTGAAATGAATTAATCATTGCATTTATGCTAAAATGCCGCAGCTCGCATTCCAGGTCAGAATTCTATGCACAAGTCCTTAACTGCTATTCTCATTAGATGACCTGATGGATTGTCACGATCATGATCATGGTTATATGTGTCATCATGACCTGAGAGTGGATGAATTAATAGTTGCTGAAAATATCTCTTAAATGGATTGTGTTATTTATTCAGGGCATGTACGGCAGGCCACAGAGGGTAGGATTTTAAAGGGAACAAAACTCCAACTTTGAAAGCGTCAAAATATGTTGTTTCTTCGTGGAATAATAATTGCTTATTATTGAATATAGTTTTGACAGGTTTTACCTCTGTCTAGGGAGCAATGTGTTAGCCTTGTGGTTAAACTCATTCCATGTGTTCAGCGCTATTCTTTGTATTATGCACAGTAAAAAGGTACACAGTATCCCTTCAGGTAAACAAACAGCTGACTATAAACTTGGTGAACAAAATGTGAAATCTGAGATAAAAGAATCACTAGACATTATCTGTATTTTCTGTTCTGCTAGGCATTGTTTATATACTGTTATAAAGATTATTGTGTGTGTATGTGAATCTATCAATCCGCTGTACACACATTTTTCACTAAATCTACCTGTGATTTGTTTGACTCAGGCATGCCTTAGTGTATGAGTTTAAAGTCCTTCTTTGTATTTCAAGGGTCTTGTAGGGCTGGTGACAGGTGGAGCATCTGGCCTCGGGCGTGCAACAGTGGAGAGATTTGTGAGGCAAGGCGCCAGGGTCGTACTGTGTGACCTGCCATCATCCGATGGAGAAGAAGTAGCCAAGAAGCTGGGAGACAACTGTGTGTTTGCTCCAACTAATGTATGTTGTCATATGATCAACTGCCATAACGACTGTGGTTTTCCATTCATCAGTTTAGCTGATTTTTATGGGGTAGCCTTCAAATATTATTTAAACCAAGGATAGATTTTCCTTTTGACTTTACAGATTGAATTAGAAACGGTTGTTATATTGTTGTTTGTATCAGTTACATCATCAACATGTTTATGATAATAACCAAGTCATAATATTAACTGAATGCTACCTGATCAGTCATATGCCTTGTGCAGTGTTGTGACCAGCTGGTGGGCGATGGATCATGATTTTAAGTTTTTCATGAAACAAGTGATTATTAGTGCTGGTATTAGCATACAACCTTTGATACGATACATCACGATACTAAAATTTTAGTCACAACGATATATTGCCAAAGTATTGTGCACGGAAGCTGCGATACGATACAATACGAATCCCGATATAAGGGTGGCAATACGATATGTATCATGATACTAAAATCTTTAATTCTAACACCAACTATAAAACACATTAAGATAAAATCAAAACTATATTAAAGTATTTCATCAAATTCTGCCAGCGTTTTTCAATGTTCATTCGGAAATGAGATAATTAAGTTTATACACGGACTTTGTGAATGTTAATTAAATGCGAGTGCTATGTTTGACACAGTTCCTGACGCAAGAATTTCAGAGAAAGCTATGAAGGGAAAATAAGTATGCATATATTTTAATCATCAAACAAAAGTAATTAAGTCTTTCTTGACAGATATCCCGATTCGGCATTATTCAAAGTAAACCATTGATTTATCATAGCCCATTTGAAGTATCGTATCGGGATATACGACAACGTAAACTATGTATCGATTCAATGTATCGGCGGCCCATGGATCGATGCATCAATGCGTATCGATGAATCGTCACACCACTAGTGGTTATGTTAAATGAAGTTATAAATCAGACTTTTTTTTCGAAATTTTCTTTTTTATATGTATGTGGTATGTAGTATGTTCATAGTGTTCATAGCATATTTCTGTCTTATGACACATTCTGTGATTAGTATGAACTATTGATGGACTCGATATCAAGCATGTAAAGGCAAGAATTTAACTTCTTTATTTGAGGAACATGGTGTTTCGAAATGTAATCTTACTCCTTTTTCAGAAGGAATAAGGAAATTGACGTCCATAAATTCTCACCTGTATGTGTATCCTTGCAAATGCCAACCAGAGACTTCAAGCAGGTAGTTATTGTTATCCAGGTAACATCGGAAGCTGATGTGAAGAATGCCCTCAGTATTGCCCAGAGCAAGTTTGGTGGGCTAAATGTTGCTGTCAACTGTGCTGGCATAGGCGTGGCATTCCAGACATATAACTTCAAGTCCGGGACACCACATGATCTGGATGACTTCAAGAGAGTGCTGGAGGTAAGTGTGATTAGATCTCCTGTACTTCAAGATGGAGGAAAGTGTGATTAGATCTCCTGTACTTCAAGATGGAGGTAAGTGTGATCAGATCTCCTGTACTTCAAGATGGAGGTAAGTGTGATCAGATCTCCTGTACTTCAAGATGGAGGTAAGTGTGATCAGATCTCCTGTACTTCAAGATGGAGTTAAGTGTGATCAGATCTCCTGTACTTCAAGATGGAGTTAAGTGTGATCAGATCTCCTGTACTTCAAGATGGAGTTAAGTGTGATCAGATCTCCTGTACTTCAAGATGGAGTTAAGTGTGATCAGATCTCCTGTACTTCAAGATGGAGTTAAGTGTGGAGTTAAGTGTGATCAGATCTCCTGTACTTCAAGATGGAGGTAAGTGTGATCAGATCTCCTGTACTTCAAGATGGAGTTAAGTGTGATTAGATCTCCTGTACTTCAAGATGGAGGTAAGTGTGGGGTTGTTTTGGGATCCTCTGTACTGCTGGTTTGCTGAGCGTCCTGTGAAGCTAACAATGATGTCTAATCACTCTGAGTTTTCGCTAATATGGTGAATCAGTTGTTGGTTCCCTATCCCAGACAGTACACAACAAGGCTAGTTGTAAACATTTCTTTGCTTGTTTTGGTTTTGAAGGCACTAAATATTGTTTGCTGACCATAAGGACATTTCAGAAAGTTCTTAGATTGCAGTGTAAAATACAATTCACAAAGGCATGTTGAGGATCATATATACAGCCTGGACTCCTTTACACAGGTGAACGCGGCAGGAACTTTCAACGTGATTCGTCTAGCCGTAGGTCTCATTGACAAGAATGAGCCGAATGCCGACAACCAGCGGGGCGTCATCATCAACACCGCCAGCGTCGCAGCCTTCGACGGCCAGAAGGGGCAGGTGGCATATTCAGCAAGTAAAGGAGCCATTGTAGGCATGACCCTCCCAATTGCCCGAGATCTGGCCAGAAGGGGCATCCGGGTCTGTACCATAGCTCCAGGTAGGCACTGAGCAAGTATGGGTCTATTGTAGGCATGACCCTCCCCATTGCCCGAGATCTGGCCAGAAGGGGCATCGAGGTCTGTACCATAGCTCCAGGTAGGTACTGAGCAAGTATGGGTCTATTGTAGGCCTGACCCTCCCCATTGCCCGAGATCTGGCCAGAAGGGGCATCCGGGTCTCTACCATAGCTCCAGGTAGGTACTGAGCAAGTATGGGTCTATTGTAGGCCTGACCTTCCCCATTGCCCGAGATCTGGCCAGAAGGGGCATCCGAGGCTGTACCATAGCTCCAGGTAGGTACTGAGCAAGTATGGGTCTATTGTAGGCATGACCCTCCACATTGCCCGAGATCCGGGTCTGTACCATAGCTCCAGGTATGTGGCATGTGGCATGTGGCATGAATCAAAATTCACATTTAGCATTTTGTTATGTGGTAGTAAGTATCAAGGTCTGGGTGAGAATTGGTCATCGGAAGTCCAGCCTTGTTACAAGAAGTGATGGGATCAGGTCAATACATGTCACTGTATCCCAGTTGTATAGATTGATGCTCATGCTGTTGATATACCAGTGAAGATCCGGGTTACAATTGATCGTCAGTATCCCATGCTTGTCGTAAGAGGCGACTAACAGGATCGTGTGGTCAGGCTCGCTGACTTGGTTGAAATGTCATTGTATCCCCAACTATGTATATCGATGCTCATGTGGTTGATCACTGGATTGTCTGGTCCAGACTCAATTATTTACAAACTGCCACCGTATAGCTGGAATATTGCGGAGTGCGGAGTAAAACTGAACTCACTCAGTAGTTTGTACAATTTTGAATGTTTGCAAAACTACATTGGTTGACATTGGTTATATTTCTCCAGGCTTATTCGACACCCCTCTGTTGGCTGGACTACCTGAGAAGGTGAGAAACCACCTGGCCAGCACTATCCCGTTCCCCAGTCGGCTGGGGGACCCAGATGAATACGCTCACTTTGCCCAGTCTATTGTGGAGAACCCTCTGATGAACGGAGAAGTTATACGTGTTGATGGGGCTCTCAGAATGATGCCATGAATATCTAGACTTCCTCAGACTTGATCAAATCATTAGATGACCGAGTGTGTGTGTCCAGGGATCGTGGTGTGGGACCATGTAGTGTCATATGAATCTGACTTGATCAAATCATTAGATGACCGTGTGTGTGTGTGTCCAGGGATCATGGTGTGGGACCATGTAGTGTCATATGAATCGCTGTGCTAGATTTATTGAATAAAACTATGATGTACAGATTGTACTACTTGTTTGTGTTCTGTATCAACAAGGTTAAAACAGAAAAATAACTCATGTTTGTTCATGCTAACCAGAAGTTGGGCGGGGCGATGGGGTAGCCTAGTGGTTTAAGCGTCTGCTCGTCACGTGAAGACCCAGGTTCAGTTCTCCATCTGGGTACAATGTGTGATGCCTATTTGTGGTGTCCCCCCCCACCGTGATATTGCTGGAATATTGCTAAAAGCAACATAAATCCATACTCACTTGAAGTTAAGCAGGATTGTACAGAGTTGTTTCCCTTCACTGGGTCAGGAACCACTACATTTGATGGTCAGATATGTTCATCTCCTTTGTTAAACCCCAGGGGAATCACATATGTTATGATCATTATAAACAAGGGTATTGTAATCTTAGAACAAAAGTCAAGGCAAATACAGGAGTTTGACACATGATCATCGGATTCCAGTCTAAGTAAACTTAGCCTCAGTATTATTTGTTACACTGCTATACTGAGTCTAACAAAACCTTGTGGAAGGTCGCGTCAGGTAACCTTTTCAATTGACCAATATAAAACCGGCATTAGTCCAGACTTTTTCAGGCACCCATTGACCCTTTATGTGCAAAAACACTGAACATGATTTTAAACCTCATTTTACCTCACCAAACATCTCTGTCTCTCATACCACAGTCCCATTGAAAGACTATCAATATTCTTGTACTGAAAAAACAACACAACAGCAAGTGAAATGTATTTATTTTTTATCTTATAATTACTTTTCATGAAATATATACAGTGAAAACTTAGTTATGAATTCATTCAGTCTGTCCTATAATATGTTTTAATAATGACTAAACTATCTTCAAGTCTGAACATGTAAGCAGATATAAGTATATCAGTTTGTTTGAAGGGTATAGGAATAAAACGTCTGTCATCTTGCTGTGTTGAAGCTATATGATATAAATCCTTCTAGAAAAGATTGGTGAAGTCCAACGTGGCATTTTCAATATGGCTGACCTGTAGGGAAGAGACTAAACCTATTATCTGATTATTAGTTTTTATACAAATCTCAATATGGCTATAATTTCAGCCATATTGAAAATCCACTGTACGTCTTTGAAGAAAGTGTATGTGTGTGATTATACCTAATGCTGTTCCCAAATGCTTGTACCCATAATGAATTGATACATTTGAATAGCTTCTACAAATACTATAAAGTGTGTATGTTTCACTGGAGAAACTTTGGTTACAGACATGCTCAGACTCGGTGTCAAATGTTTTAACAGTTCATTCCATGCAAATGTGATTTTATCTTCACCATTTTACAATATAACCTTGCATGATCTTGTGCAACCAAAATGTGCACATGAAAACATGATAAAATTACAACCATGGTCTCAATAACTCATCTGGCTGAGAAGAAACCACAATGTTCAATATTCCCACTGCTGCCATGTGAACAAAACACTTTTATATCCTCTTATAAACCTCCAGTGAGGTCACTCTGTTGTCTCGCCAGGTTCTGCTTTCACCAAGTAAACCTCTACAGGCAATTTTCTAAGGAATAGCCCTTAACTTTGAATTATTTTACTTGTACAAATTTTGAAGATTTTGAAGATTTTGTCTTACTATGACTGAATGCGATCGTAATATATACTACTCAAAGTTTGATAAGGATCATATAGTTATTACATTATAAAATCAATATATGAATTGATATGACACGCAAATTTCATCACAATGTTGGACTGACCCCTCTTGAGCCTCAAAACACAGGTTAGGTAGGGAAATGCATGCTGCAATGATCATGAGTAGCACGTGAAGCATGGTACCCACATTTTTCACATTTCTGAGTGCTTGTCGTTGATTTGAATTTGGGCATTGTCTTTACATCTGACATCGTTTAAGTCACTGTTACTCTATGAAAATGCCTCCCACAACGCCAAAGACGCCGCTTTGACTGTTGAAGAATTGGCCAGATGCATAGGAATGCTCGAAAATGGTGCAAGACAACGCCACGCTTCAGAGCTATTGGGTGTCAGTCAGAGCGTTGTTTGCAGAGCTTGGAACCGGTATCAATCTCATGGTTCAGCTTCTCATCGACATGGAGGCGGCAGAGAAAGGTCCACCACGCAGCAAGGTGACCGCTTTTCTCTTGATTTCAGCACGACGCCATCGGTTTGCAACGGCGACTCGCGCTTTAGAAATGATCTTCTGAATGCAACTGGAGTTAACATTTCCACGCTAAACTGTGCGTAATCGCCTTCATGAAGCTGGTCTTCGTTCCCGAGAGCCTGTATTCGCATCCCTCTTACTCAGCGACACAGACAAGATCGCTTTGAATTGGGCCAGGGCTCATGTGAATTGGAGGGTTGTTGATTGGGCCCCTGTACTTTTCACAGACGAAGTCGAGGTTTTGTGTTGACTTCACAGATCGTCGTGCACGAGTGTGGAGAAGGGCAGGAGAACGCGATATCAGGACGCTAATGTTGCTGAACACGACAGATATGGTGGTGGGTCGTTGATGATTTGGGAGGAATCAGTCGAGCTGGACGAAACTGATCTCCATGTCCTAAGGCGAGGCACGATGACCGGAGTGCGCTTACAGGGATGAAGTCCTGGATGTGTAATGCGGAGACCATATGCTGGTGCTGTTGGTCCTGACTTCATCCTCATGGACGATAATGCACGCCCACATCGTGCTAGGGTGATGGACGAGTACCTGGAACGTGAGACAATTGTTCGTGATGGACTGGCCAGCTCGTTCTCCAGACCTCAACCCTATCGAGCATGTCTGGAATATGCTTCAGGTAGCGATTTCATCGTCGTCCTGTACAACCAACCACCCTCCAGGAACTTGAAAATGTTCTGATCCAAGAATGGAACAATCTCTCTTTTAAGGCCCATTCAAAACCTCGTTGGAAGCATGAGATCTACGTTGCCAAGCTGTCATTGGAGCTAACGGAGGCCATACCCGCTATTGACACTTGTTTGTGCAGTGTGAAATGGAATGTGCAGAGTTTAAACAATTTCGTGATCATGAAATTACCATGCTTTTTATGGTACTCTCCCTTTACCTTAGGAGTACGCGATGAAATGTCATGTTTGCCAAATTTTTCTGTCACAATTTCTTGAAGTAAACATTTCTGAACATAAATCACTCTGTGTTGGTTGTCATTCACCTTTGTTGACAGTTTTACTAGTGCTGAAAAATATGATCCTTATCAAACTTTGAGTAGTATATATCACAGTATTGAAAACTTCCAATGTATTGTGCCAATGCATGGTTTCGAACCTGCAAGTCTTTGTTTACTGGCATTGGCTGTCAGTCTCATCCCAGTTGATTTCAACAGTAAATACCAAATATGAAAATTATACCTAAAGTTTATCTTCGGTTGGTTCATAAGTTGGATCAAAACCTTCTTGGTTTATCAGCCCTCCCAATTTCCCTCTGTCCCAGGCTTACTTTTTCGAACAAAACCTCAGAGTCAGTTTTGATCCTTCACAACAAGCCTGATCAAACGGATAGCCCCAGAAAATGACAAATCTTTAGGGGCACCTGTGTCTTGGAGCTCAGACGGAGCGCAAAATAACGTTTGTCTGTGTTGTGATACATAAACATGTTGCCAGATGAAAGTTAACTCCATTATGAGATTTATGGATTGCAAGACTTAAAGTAATAAACAAAACATTTGTTTTTCTTGTAAAATATGTTTGTCTCATCTTGTGATCCTGAAAAGCTGACCATGATGTCCATGCAGACCAGAGACTGAAGGGTGATCAAACTGGACAAACAGACCACGGTCTGTAGTGTGATCAAACTGGACAAACAGACCATGGCCTGTACTGTGATCAAACTGGACAAACAGACCATGGTCTGTAGTGTGATCAAATTGGACAAACAGACCATGGTCTGTACTATTATCAAACTGGACAAACAGACCATGGTCTGTAGTGTGATCAAACTGGACAAACAGACCACGGCCTGTACTGTGATCAAACAGGACAAACACCACGGCCTGTACTGTGATCAAACTGGACAAACAGACCACAGTTTGTAGTGTGATCAAACTGGACAAACGGACAATGGTCTGTAGTGTGATCAAACTGGACAAACAGACCATGGCCTGTAGTGTGATCAAAATGGGACCAGACAGACCATTCTGTGTAGTGTGATCAAGGTGAGCCCCGACCGACCACACCCTGTAGTGTGATCAAACTGGACAAACAGACCACGGCCTGTAGTGTGATCAAGGTGGGCCCAGACAGAAAACACCCAGTGGAGTGATCAAGATGGGCCCAGACAGACCATACTCTGTAGTGTGATCAAGGTGGGCCCAGATTGACCACACTCTGTAGTGTCATCAAGATGGGCCCAGACAGACCATTCTGTGTAGTGTGATCAAGGTGGGCCCCGACCAACCACACCCCTGTAGTGTGATCAAACTGGACAAACAGACCACGGCCTGTACTGTGATCAAAATGGACAAACAGACCATGGCCTGTAGTGTGATCAAAATGGGCCCAGACCGACCATACTCCGTAGTGTGATCAAGGTGGGCCCAGACATACCACACCCAGTAGTGTGATCAAGGTGGGCCCCGACTGACCACACCCTGTAGTGTGATCAAGGTGGCCCCAGACAGACCACACCCAGTAGTGTGATCAAGATGGGCCCAGACAGACCACAACCTGTAGTGTGATCAAACTGGACAAACAGACCACACCCTGTAGTGTGATCAAAATGGGCCCAGACAGACCATACACTGTAGTGTGATCAAGGTGGGCCCAGATTGACCACTCCCTGTAGTGTCATCAAGGTGGGCCCAGACAGACCACACCCAGTAGTGTGATCAAGGTGGGCCCAAACAGACCACAACCTGTAGTGTGATCAAGGTGGGCCCAGACAGTCCACACCCAGTAGTGTGATCAAGGTGGGCCCAAAAAGTACACACCCTGTAGTGTGATCAAGGTGGGCCCCGACTGACCACACCCTGTAGTGTGATCAAGGTGGGCCCAGACATACCACACCCAGTAGTGTGATCAAGGTGGGCCCCGACTGACCACACCCTGTAGTGTGATCAAGGTGGCCCCAGACAGACCACACCCTGTAGTGTGATCAAAATGGGCCCAGACAGACCATACACTGTAGTGTGATCAAGGTGGGCCCAGATTGACCACACCCTGTAGTGTCATCAAGGTGGGCCCAGACAGACCACACCCAGTAGTGTGATCAAGGTGGGCCCAAACAGACCACAACCTGTAGTGTGATCAAGGTGGGCCCAGACAGTCCACACCCAGTAGTGTGATCAAGGTGGGCCCAAAAAGACCACACCCTGTAGTGTGATCAAGGTGGGCCCAGACAGACCACACCCTGTAGTGTGATCAAGGTGGGCCCAAACAGACCACACCCTGTAGTGTGATCAAGGTGGGCCCAAACAGACCACACCCTGTAGTGTGATCAAGGTGGGCCCAGACAGACCACACCCTGTAGTATGATCAAGGTGGGCCCAGACAGACCACACCCTGTAGTGTGATCAAGGTGGGCCCAAACAGACCACACCCAGTAGTGTGATCAAGGTGGGCCCAAACAGACCACACCCTGTAGTGTGATCAAGGTGGGCCCAGACAGACCACACCCTGTAATGTGATCAAGGTGGGCCCAGACAGACCACACCCTGTAGTGTGATCAAGGTGGGCCCAGACAGACCACACCCTGTAGTGTGATCAAGGTGGGCCCAGACAGACCACACCCTGTAGTGTGATCAAGGTGGGCCCAGACAGACCACACCCTGTAGTGTGATCAAGGTGGGCCCAGACAGACCCCAGACCCCACCCTGTAATGTGATCAAGGTGGGCCCAGACAGACCACAAACTGTAGTGTGATCAAGGTGGGCCCAAACAGACCACACCCAGTAGTGTGATCAAGGTGGGCCCAGACAGACCACACCCTGTAGTGTGATCAAGGTGGGCCCAGACAGACCACACCCTGTAGTGTGATCAAGGTGGGCCCAGACAGACCACACCCTGTAGTGTGATCAAGGTGGGCCCAGACAGACCACACCCTGTAATGTGATCAAGGTGAGCCCAGACAGACCATACCCAGTAGTGTGATCAAGGTTGGCCCAGACAGACCATACTCTGTAGTGTGATCAAGGTGGGCCCAGTCAGACCACACCCTGAAGTGTGATCAAGGTGGGCCCAGACAGACCACACCCTGTAGTGTGATCAAGGTGGGCCCAGACAGACCACACCCAGTAGTGTGATCAAGGTGGGCCCAGACAGACCACACCCTGTAGTGTGATCAAAGTGGGCCCAGACAGACCACACCCTGTAGTGTGATCAAGGTGGGCCCAGACAGACCACAACCTGTAGTGTGATCGAGGTGGGCCCAGACAGACCACACCGTGTAGTATGATTAAGGTGGGCCTATACAGACCACACACTGTAGAGTGATCGAAGTGGGCCCAGACAGACCACACCCTGTAGTGTGATCGAAGTGGGCCCAGACAGACCACACCCAGTAGTGTGATCAAGGTGGGCCCAGACAGACCACAACCTGTAGTGTGATCAAGGTGGGCACAGACAGACCACACCCTGTAGAGTGATCAAGGTGGGCCTAGACAGACCACACCCTGTAGAGTGATCGAAGTGGGCCCAGACAGACCACACCCAGTAGTGTGATCAAGGTGGGCCCAGACAGACCACACCCTGTAGAGTGATCGAAGTGGGCCCAGACAGACCACACCGTGTAGTATGATCAAGGTGGGCCTATACAGACCACACCCTGTAGAGTGATCGAAGTGGGCCCAGACAGACCACACCCTGTAGTGTGATCAAGGTGGGCCCAGACAGACCACACCCTGTAGTGTGATCAAGGTGGGCCCAGACAGACCACACCCTGTAGAGTGATCGAAGTGGGCCCAGACAGACCACAACCTGTGGTGTGATCAAGGTGGGCCTAGACAGACCACACCCTGACATCTTCGGCATGGATCCAAGAAAGTCACCACCTAATCCATTTAGATACACCTAACCACAAAATGATTTATGATACCTTTACAACAGCTGAAGTAGAATCTTTCAAATGCAACTTATTTATGGAACCAGGAAGCGTTGATAACGATGGTTGTGTTGTTGTTGTTGAAGTGTAACAGTATGACCTTGGAGATGTCACACAGGAGGATCACTGTGGGAAGTCGGACACAAAGATCTTCGCGTGCGTGATGTGACGGGAGATGAGACGTGTTCGGGAAAAGTCGCGGTTCTCCAGCTTCATCGTCACCTCGTACTCCGCAGGTCCAAAGAGAGGTTTCAGGAGCTTCAAGAACGCTGGTAACAAGAAATATTACAGTTTAAAATATGAAGTAACCGGTCAAAACACAAATGTCAAAATTTGAAATATTCTTGAAAAACAAATGGCATCCCACAACAAATTAAATGTTTACATCAAATTTTATTTCATTTTGCAAAATATTGTACCACTGCAGTGTATATTGCCTAACAAATATTTCATGTGATCCCTTATTTCCTCAGTATACATTTGTTGCTTAATGGCACACACTGTTAACTGCAATATTCCTGCTACATGTCAACATAATTAAGTCTGATCCAGACAATCCAGTGATTGATATCCATATCAAGAGTGAGTGAGTGAGTTTTAGTTTTACACTGCTTTTAGCAATATTGCACTAGGCTACCCCACTGCCCCATCTTCATTCCAGTGAACCTAGGGGACCCAAGAGGCCCAGGGACAAGGACCCACTTGCACAAAGTGATCTTAGCGCTACAATGATCATAAGCCCCATACTCTAAAAGGCACCAAAGGTTTTCACAGCGCTATGATTAGTTTGTGTAAGTGGGCCCTGGTCCAAGGTATCTCATAATTTATAACAATATTGATGCATCAATAAATTTGTCCTACAGTTGATGCATCAATACTAATTATGAACTCTGATTTCTGAATAAAATTCACTGCTACAGAAATATACACAAAGAACTTAATTAAGCACCCTTTGTATTTTTGCAATGATAGGTTTTCAACACGTACATAAAACTTATCGTGGTGACCACAATGAAAAAACAAAAGTTTTTCTGACCCATATGATCCTTTGACCCATAAAAAGCGACAAAAAGTATTGGAATCCATGTTGATTTTATGATGATAATTGCTCATTTTTAAAATCACTGATTTTCATACAAAACGGTAAACCATGTCTGTACATGTATGGCCCTGGAATGTTTAATGTTGAATTTATTGGTGAATGTGAACATTCAAAATGTCATTTTGCATGTCTTACACGATTCAAGGTCAATACAGAGTGTAACCTAAATGTGACTGTATGATAGCCAGCACTCTCCTCCTCATACCCCCTGTCAGCCTCCTGATCCTCTAAAAGGGCAGTCTACACCATTCCTTGTGTAAAGCAGCTTCCAATTGGGCCAGGTTTTGTACAGGAGGATCCCTTTGTTGCACACGACGACCAATTATGTCCCAGATATGCTCCAAAGGGTTAAGATTGGGACTCATTCAATCGTGAGATATGTCGGGGTGCTTAACTAAGTTCTTTGTGAATACTTATGTAACAATTCCATGTCTGTAACTATTTATCTTTATGCATAAAAAATATCTAACTTTATCATTGATCAATATAAGATGATACAAATGAGATGCTATGAATGCTAAAAGTCCAGTCAATGACACCCCCAGAAGGTACAAACCTTGGTCTCCTTCCACCACTGTCTGGAACAGCCCTTCATCATTGCCGGCGATGATGCGCAGGTCCAGGTTTGGGTAGATGGAGTACCCGATGGTGCGGATGTTGAGGAGGGTGAGGGGTTTATGGACAAACTCCACTTGGGGCAGTGCGAGGAACTGCCATGACACTGTCTTCGTCTTGTTGTAGTGACAGTTAACGTCGGTGGGGACACACGACCGACCACATACCACTCCACCATCATCAGCGATTAGCTCGCTGCGGCTGAAGACAAACAAGGCATTTTCAGCTACATTGGTACAGATATGTTCATGTGTTTTTGTTAATTTGTCTTGCAGGCTTCTACATAGTTCTCTTAAGGGCACTTGATATATGCAAGTTACACACACAGATTGGCAATGAAACAAGCTGACTTCCTGACTTGAGTTGAGAACAGTGGTACACTTGTACATGCAATAACAAAGGAGTCAATGCTAGTAGTTACATAATGTTAGTTACAACAGTAGGTTTATACTGACCTTGCACACGGGTGTGAACTGCAAACATGCACATGGTAATACAGTCTTGTCAAACAGAAGTTAAGGTGTTGCTCACATTCACATGCCAGACAAGTGAACTAAATATTCACCACTGTTTTCACCTATATCTTCTCCAAAGTATTCCATAATGTTTTCACCAATGTTCTCACCATGGTATTTACCAATGTATTCACAAGTTTATTCACCAGTGTAATCACAATCTATTCTCCAATGCATTCACAAGTGTATTACCTTGTTATCACCAATGCATTCACAAGTGTATTCACCAATGTCACCACCAATGCATTCACAAGTGTATTCACCAATGTCACCACCAATGCATTCACAAGTGTATTCACCAATGTCACCACCAATGCATTCACAAGTGTATTCACCAATGTCACCACCAATGCATTCACAAGTGTACTCACCAATGCATTCACAAGTGTAGTCACCAATGTCACCACCAATGCATTCACAAGTGTATTCACCAATGCATTCACAAGTGTATTCACCAATGTCACCACCAATGCATTCACAAGTGTATTCACCAATGTCACCACCAATGCATTCACAAGTGTATTCACCAATGTCACCACCAATGCATTCACAAGTGTATTCACCAATGTCACCACCAATGCATTCCAATGTCACCACCAATGCATTCACAAGTGTATTCACCAATGTCACCACCAATGCATTCACAAGTGTATTCACCATGCATTCACCAATGCATTCACAAGTGTATTCATCAATGCATTCACAAGTGTATTCACCAATGTCACCACCAATGCATTCACAAGTGTATTCACCAATGCATTCACAAGTGTATTCACCAATGTCACCACCAATGCATTCACAAGTGTATTCACCAATGTCACCACCAATGCATTCACAAGTGTATTCACCAATGTCATCACTAGTGTATTCAGCAATGTATGTACCAGTGTATTCACTAATGTATTCACCTGTGAATTCACTGATGTCCTCACCGCTGTCAGTTACATAAGTCAGTCACCAACATCTACTGACACACATCATTTCTCCTTTGGCTCATATCACAGACGTAGTTCATAGGAGCACATGACACTTCACCCAACACTTTACACCTTCACTTGGCAAGGTGGCCCATTGAATGAGCGAATGATTTGGGTGAATCCCAAATATACCATATTTCAGTTTGATCAGATTGATTGTTGTTTAATGCCACACTCAGCAATATTCTAGCTATAAGGCGGCAGTCTGTAAATAATCAAGTCTAGACCAGACAATCCAGTGATCAACACCACGAGCATTGTACTACGCAACTGGGATACAATGACATGTGTCAACAAAGTCAGCGAACCTGACCACCCATTCCCGTTAGTCGCCTTTTACGACAAGCACGGGTTACTGAAGATCAATTCTAACCCAGATCTTCACAGGTAGAGATTCTTTGGCATCCATGTTAAAACACCGCTGTAAAATTTGTAAAACTGGTGTAAAACACACAGGTGTAAAACCTCACAGGTGTAAAACCACACAGGTGTAAAACCTCACTGCTGTACGTAAAACCTCACAGGTGTAAAGCCTGACTCATATACATGTACTTCATACAATTTCTCTCATTCTTCTTCTCAGCAAATAAATCAAAACATCAATATATAAATAGTTTATTGAAGAATATGATACATGATTATCAAATTATTCCAAATTAGCTCAAACTTGTCGTTTACTGATTCAATCATATTTGTCACCGGATGAATAGCATTATGATACCTGTACATGCAAAATGAATAATGATATACAAATGTTAGGCAAGACACTTTATTTCCTAAATGCTGATCCCACAAAACATGCTGAAACTTATGCATATACTATAGGATAAACTACAAGGTCTCAAGCTAACACTGGTTGCCTGGCAACATATTCTGATAACATTAATTTTACAGACAAAAGAAAACTTCTGAAATATCCTTTTTTCCTCTTTTTCAACCCTCATGAATATCATATATTTCTTCACAACTAAGGCCAGACCAATTTTATTTCTTGTTTTACGGATCCACCGGTCGTAAATTTCAAGAATAATAAAAAAAAATTGTAAAAGATTTCAAGCTCAAAAAATACAATCCTAATGTTTTCATTGGCAAAAATGTAAACTTACAAACAAATGTTTTTTAAATTGTATTTTGCCCAAAATGCACATCATAAATTGCCCAAAGTAAAATACTTCTAGTTTTTAGAAGGAATATTACTTTGACTGGTGATTATATACAAAAAAATTCTCTCCTGCCTTTAGGTTTCCTGAGGACAAAAATGCGTAAAACAAGAAATAAATTTGGTCCGGCCTAAGAACGAAATGAACCAAGAAATATATAGTTATACCTTGTTGTAACATTAAAGAATCATATGTGGACCATACACCAGATCCAAAATAACACCTGAAGTGCCTGGGATATGACACAACAGACACTGGTACACAGAATACTGCCATATAGTACAGAGTGTCTGAAAACAACTATCAGAATCCTATATCATACACAAATCCGCACAAAGTCCTGGCCAACAGAATGCTGGTTATATCGGAATGATGGCTATATCGGAATGGTTATTGGGCAACTGGTACTAATCTCTAATGCCTAGGCAACGGAAGCTGATATTTAACCAAAACTCTATAACATTCATTCACTGTTTTAAACAATATGTTTGTTTTTTAAATCTTTAGATAGTCATATTAGAAACTATTTTTTTTCAAGAATTTTCCTGACCATGTATACATAATTAAATACATTAAATACTGATAAATATATTTTCAGCAGTAACCAAGCCTTTAGTTGAAAATGAATTGGGGGACAATTACATCAGCATGAAAGAAACTGTCAGCAAAATGTACCCTCCTAATTTCTTAATTGTTTCATATTATCAGATCTATTTAAATATTTTTGCATTAATTGTAATTGTAAAAGAAAGTCAGAAAATAAAAAGTGAAGATCAAATATTCAGTGAAAATCAACATAATAATATAGAGCATGGATTATTCAACCAGACCTTCTTTTGGTAAAATACTGCTTGAAATTTGAAATTTGAAAATTTAAATAGAATTACTAAAAAATCAAAGTTTAGAATGATCTTCTCATACTGAATCTCAAAAATGAATATATTTTACCTTTAGAAATATGTTTATGCTCCCCAATAAAACCATTTTCGGATACCATTAGAGCAAACTTTCATCCTCATGAAATGGGTCTGTATGTTCAAATGGTCTGTATGTTCAAATGGTCTGTATGTTCAAATGGTCTGTATGTTCAAGTGGTCTGTATGTTCAAATGGTCTGTATGTTCAAATGGTCTGTATGTTCAAATGGTCTGTATGTTCAAATGATCTGTATGTTGACAATTTCTGCTTAGATGGCTGACAAATATTCCTGGAAACCTCGTTCTGACTTCACAATCACTGGATCAGCAATACCGATTATTTTATATAGAAGAATAAACAGCAAGTTAAGCCACATTGTCGTCTGTGATAAACAAATGCAGACGTGATTCAGCGTAACCTTCAAACCCCTTGGTAAGGTCGTTGATCCTCATCCGGAGCTGAAGCACAACGTCTTGCGGACCTTGTATTCGTTGTATGAGGCTGACAACAGCCTGGTTGGAGCTTTCCTCAAGCGAGAAATATGCGTCCGTGGCTTTGGGGATTCCACTCTGACGGGGTTCGGCCGAAATGATGGTCAGTTCCCAGGCGTAGAACTTCTCCTGGTCGTTGGCGCCGGTCATTGAGAAGAGGGCTGCGGGGATGATGACATTGGTGGGGAAGGTGAGGAAGTTGTAGGAGAGGGACAGGAGCCCGTCCAGACATCGGCGGCAAGTCTTGGATCTCTTCTTGCAGCGGAAACTGTAAGTGAATGTCAGTATGCATGGAGGGTGTTAGACAACATGGGGGGACTGCAAGCAGCTACACTACACTTCAGACTGGAGAAGCAGATCACATGGAAGAGCACACAACCTGTTGTTTCCTGACACCTTAAATGTAACTGTGCCCTCGGCCACGTTACTTCACGACTTGGGTATTAAGTGGGGAACCCCTTTTTTCCAACACCTTACATGTAAAATGCACCCATGGATATTATATTCTTTCCACTTTTTTCAAAATCCTGGAACTTCCTCTACCATGCAAATTTGCTGTTGCAGTGAGTGAGTGAGTTGCATTTGACACCGCTTTTAGCAATATTCCAGCAATATTACGGCTGGGGGGGACACCAGAAATAGGCTTCACGCATTGTACCCATGTGGGGAATTGAACCTAGGTCTTCGGCCTGACGAGCAAACGCTTTAACCACTTGGCTACCTCATCGTCCCCGGTAGCTGTGAGAGGTTTTGCAATGTCAAATATTCATTCAGTGTTTCAAAGCCATGGCCAACAGAACTGTATTTTAGGGACACATTTAAGGTAAAAAGTAAGCATTATGTTTGTGAAGATATTAAAGTTACAAGGTAGTGACATGCTCCTGTACTTTTAAAAAGTCATTGCCAGATTTAATATTCAACTTGTTTCTGCAGAAATACTGAGTGAAAAGCCGGTTTTGGTAAATATGAAACAAGAACCTAACTATCCACAATAGTTCTGCAAATCTGCAAGAACAAAATTTTGAATGAAATATTCAAAACACACTGTGGCATTTGCCAACTGTGAACATTTTTTGTGACAAAGTTTCAACTCTTCATCCCATAAACCTTCTATACAGAGTAATGTTCCAAAAGCTGTACAGGTTTTCTAACTGTCTCAGACCCCCCAACCCCCAACTAAATTCTTATTCATTTGAACAAATTACGTCAAGGTAAGGAGCACCATACTAGAATAAGTTCAGGGCCTCCTTTCAGAAAGCACTAAGGTGATCGTAAGTCACTAAGGTAACCTTAGTGCAATGTTAAAGAATGGGAGTTAAGGTTAACCTTAGTAAAGGTAGCTTCATGAAAGGAGACCCATGTCACCAAACTAGAATAAGTTCTGTTTCTTAAGTTTGGCAAGGCCAGAGAACCCTAATATTGCAAGGAAGGAAACATACATGTTGAGCCCAAATACAAACTACTCGTTACATTTTCACAAGCAGTGTTCGCCCTTAACCCTGAAAAGCTGCAGGCCTAAGGACCCAGAACCATAAAAAGTTGTGGGTCCTGATCAGAATGTGTACGCCCTATATTTTAGCTACAATATATGTAATTCCCAGCAAACAAAATGAAAGTTTTGCTGCTAATTGAGATAAAATACTGGAAATTATTGGGGATGAAAAACTTTTTTTTGAACTGTTGGTCATAAGGACCTGCAGAAAACAAAAGCTGTGGGTCCAAGTGGTTTTCAGTCGGGTTCGGGCCTAAGGACGGACGTTAATTTCAATGCTGTTAACAAACACTTTGAGTAATGTCATTGATATCATTTTCAAAATAGCTGGTGTGGTGGTCATATTGAAAATCAATTTGATACCCGAACAAACTGGGGGTGTCATCATTGGTATGACCAACCATGTGAACCCTCAGCGTCACTGGCCCAGTAGTTTCTGCAAAGATGTTTGAATGACTCGTGTACGTATTTTACATTATAGCCACTGGCATGAAGATGTCTTCAACAATCAATGTACTGTACAAGTTGACCATCACATTCACAAAGTTCTTAATGATAGATGGTTTTACGACAGCCTTATCAAAATCCAATAGTAATACCTTGAATAAACTTCATACCCCTACAGTCACAAAATTCACAAAAAGTCACGTTGAATTCATCAACCCTCTCAGAAATGAAGTCAGAAAATGTAACACATCTATGTCTGCCAGCTAAAGACCAGGGTGCCGTTGTACAAAACGATCTTAGCTCTAAGGTGACTGTATCTCCCATACCTTAACATAGACTTAAGGTAGTCTTAGCACTAAGGTTGTTTTGTACAATGGGACCCTGTACACAAGAACATTAACTCCCATGATCAGGTGAGCTAAGAACAAGACCTTTGGCAGTCATTGCCGCCAACTACAAATATATGTTTGACTGCTGGTGCATTCATGTCTCAAACTTCCATCAAATATATTTTCAGGGTGCTTCAGTCAACAATTCCATTTGTCTTCTGGCTTCTCCACCCATTTCTGAACTTTGTTATTTATTACCCAAAAAACACAGCTGTCACATTATCAGACAATTTGCCTCTCATTAATCAGTCTAATACCAGTGGTTGCCTGGTGTAACTGGCCACAAAATTGCCAAAGTGAAAAAGTGTTGCAGGAAGTGCCTGTACCAACATGGCTAAAAGTTCAAAGTATCGTATGTGAGTGAAGGGAGATAACTCTTACATCACAATGATCTCCAAGTTAGCAAACTCTTCTGTTTTCATTGTGATGCTTTGTACTAACTTATATCAACATCTCCATCAAAGCTGTCAGTTAGGTACAACAAACAACACCACTCACAATATGTTAAGGATTAATCAACAACAGAAACACACCATCACACATGCACATATCAATATAACAATAAGTTCTGACGCGGTTTATTTGTTGATCAATGTCACAACATATATAATCATCATTTATCTATTCTCCATGACCAATACTTCATAGCTTTGTGTTTATCAAATTTGTGACTTACCTGTTTTGCCGCCCGCCTGATGGAATCTTGACAAACCCATCTGGACATCGCACAAGAGGACACTTGAAGCCGCCACGGACGTTGACACAAAACTCATCCCTGTTGCGACATGTAGCCACACCAGTCTTACACTCGTCAATATCTGGGACACAAAAAAAAACACCATGTACAATACTTCTGTGTGTTCTTTGCCTTTAGAAATGAACCAAAACGAAATCAGTCAATATGGAACTTTCAAACCCAAACTTCAGCAACATTACATCATCAATACTTCACAGCTTTAGCATACACTACATTCCTCTATCAACTGTCCAGGTTACCTAAAATGTTGTATACACTTAAGGGTTAATTATTTCATTTACATGTCATCTAAACGGACTGGACTCAACGCTATATCACGGTTGTCTCCAAAGAAATGGGTTCTTTAAGTTGTCGGGTAGACTAACATCAAGTCTCAGAAATGAACAGAAAATTTGAATTATACAGAACAAACGGTTCATGAATTATTATCATAAAACATATTAAATGATTTCCAGAGACTTCCTTCATTAACTGTTGTAATGTAGACTTGCCACATATTCTAGACTTGCATGGGCCTTCCTGGATATATTTGGTACAGGATCTGTATGACAGACTAGTTGTCTAGGTGAGTCTTACCTTCACATGACCTTCCATCACCTTTGACCCTCCATCCCTCGGGACACTCGCACCGATATGACCCCTGGAGGTTGATACAACGACCTCCGCACACGCCACCCCTGATACCTCCACGACCTCCTCGACCTCCAAACTGAGTACACTCGTTGATGTCTAAGAAAACCAATTTTATGTTAATGGTATATTCAGGACAAGACTGGGTGAGAGAGTGAATTGAGTTTTTACAATGGTTAGCAATGGTGCAGTCATATCCCAGCAGCCATACATTGTCTGCATAATGATGTCATACAATCCATGATGGCAGAAGTTTCAGTGAGATACACTGACAAAAACAAATAAAGGGTCACAGGAAAATTCAAGCGTTCCTTTATTATTATTCAGTTTTCTTCACCACAGCACTATTCAAAGCTGGTGATAAAAACTGGAAAATATTAAAGGAACGCTTGAATATCCCTGTGATCCTTTATTTGTTTCTCTCAGTATATGTTACATGCATAAATCTACTTTCAGCGGATCTCAGCGTCAATTGGTCAGTGTAATAACCGTCTTATTTTTTCAATGAAAAGATAATTGATAATACTAGTAGATAATTGAATTTCCTTCAAATTAGTCAAAATTGTAATTGTCCTAAGTACAATTTCAGTGAGGGTGTGAGTGTAAGTACCCATGAGACTGGGAACTAAAGACATTCTATGTATGGCAACAATTGCAGTTTCAACTTCAATTTTTTAGATTTACTTCAGAATACTATGAGAGGATTAAAAGAATGCATAGATTGTAGGAATCAGCCCGACCTTCACACAGTCTCTTGTCCTCCGCCAGCTGGAAGCCACGGTTACAGGAGCAGAAGTAGGAGCCGATGACGTTCACGCAGCTGTGGTGGCAGATGTTGGGGGTCTGACACTCATCGATGTCTGAAATAACGGAATATACAATGTTCAAGACACTATTCAATGTTGGAAATAACGTCACATAACTCTTTAAGGCACTCTGCAATGTCAGAAACATGTAACACTGTATAATACACTGTTGGAAGAGTAAGTGAGTTTGGTTTTACACTGCTTTTAGCAATATTCCAGCAATATCACAACGGGGAACACCAGAAATGGGCTTCACACATTGTACCCATGTGGGGAATCAAACCCGGGTCTTCGGGGTGACGAGTAGTGGTGTTCCGATTAATTGTAATATAATCGAAGATTGATCGCAGTGACCAAACAACCAAGCAATCGATCACATTTTCTCATAATCGAACATAAACGATTTTTTAACTACTTTTTTTAGTCTTTGAAATACTTAACAATGAAACATATCGTTGAAGTGTCAGGGCCTGAAAACGTGTTTAATTCTTAAAACTCACTTCACTAACTGAAAAGCAATGACTGAATATTTCTTGAAGACTCCAGGAAGTTTATGTTCATGATATATAAGTCATCACTTTAAAGTAGCATGTTGCATCATGTTATACATATCTGCAATAACAACCTGGATAGGAAAATCTGAAAAATGACGCTAACCAATTTTTTTCGATGATTGTTCGTTGGTAATGAAGCAATCATCAATTGTGAGATTTCAACCAATTCCCAACACTAGTGACGAGTGGACACTTTTACTGTTGGAAAACTACTGACCACATAGTAGACCACTGACCTGAGCAGCTTCCCTGGCCGTCGCCCTGCAGACCCTCCTTGCATTGGCAGGTGTAGCTACCAGGGGTGTTGGAACACCGAGAGTTGGAGGGGCAGATGGCCGCACCGTACGCACACTCGTCCACATCTGACAACAGGAAGTGAGACAATACTCAACAATCAACAAACATAGATCCATGCAATATATCCAAAAATAAAACCTCCATTACAACTGTAATAAAAAAACGCCTCTATAGTCATATACTTGCTATAAAAATGAAAGGCAAGTCTATCTTAGATACATTACAAGTTGTGTGGAAAATATGACAGTGTGACATAGCTGAAAGCTTTGCTGCACCACTAACACCAATCAAATGAAGTAGTGAGTGAGGTTTTACGTGCTTTTAGCAATATTCCAGCAATAACACAGCGGGGACACCAGTAATGGGCTTCACACATTGTACCCATGTGGGGGATCGAACCCGGTCTTCGGCCTGACGAGCAAACGCTTTAACCACTAGGCTACCCCACAACCTCTCAAAGTGAAGTAGCATTCAAAGACAAACAATCCTTTTTCATTATTTCAACATTCCAACAAATAGTTGTTTTCCTTCAAGTTTGCTTTTTGGAGTGGTGTAAGTCTTAAAACGTAAGGAAAATGTTTTTGTCCAAAAATGACCTCATACACTTTTCTTATTATGTGATGATATTTCAACTACCTGTTGACACACTGACATTTGTCTGACTCCATCAGTATCCAGCATTAAGTTACAGCATTATAGGACTGTATTAGAAAGCACACCAGATAAAAATTACAATCTATTTTAAAGTATCAAGTAACAGTGATAGTGTCTGACATGTAACAGGTTTAACTGACTATGTCCACGGTATGTGATGTTGTACTGACCGGTGCATCTGCCGCCGGCGCTGGTACGGTATCCACGAGGACACTGACAGAAGTAACTCCCCTGTCTGTTGACACACTGCTGGTCCGCCCCACATCGGTGAGTTGATTTCTCGCACTCATCAATGTCTGCCAACAGATGAAGGTCACAGCGATTCAAATAAAACACTGCTACTTCTTGTTCATGTCTTCCTACTTCAGGCCACACAAATTTAGTTATTTGTTTAATTGATCCATGCAACTCACATTTTAGCCATTCTCAATAATACATACATAACTTCTGTAGCCTGTCTGTTAACCTTTCATCTCTATATGTATTTATTTACTATTTGCTACATATATTTATTATTTGCTACATAGATATTTCATATTTACATGTTTCTTCACATCAGAAAATTATAATATTTCCCCTTCAAATGAACCAATAAAAGATTGGAAATACCAAATTAGTCTTATGTGATCAAACATTTGTTGCCCCCTGTCTTCAGGTATTTTGGGGAGACAAGAAAATTAATTAACCTGGTCTTATTTTCACGCATGATTCTAAACAAACTATGTGCCATATCAGCTGCAAACGAACAATTCATTTAGAATATGGAATACAAAAGAAACAAGATACAGGAAAGTTCTACGTTTTTACTGAAAAAAAATAACCAAATGTTCCATCTGTACAAAAACATAAAACTACAATATTCAAAGCCATTTAACTACCCTCAGAGTGAGGCCAGCACACAAAATGAGTGATCTAATGTATGTTACATTTTATCACTTTCTGAAAGGCATTGTGCATTCACATACATGTCAGCCATGAGGGCCATCCCCAGTTACACTCTTCAGAGGGGTACACTTAGGATATAAGGCTACCAATGGTCAAACATTCAGTGTAAGCTGTCGAGGCTGGGTGGGTTAGATCTCTGATGAGTGAGTGAGTAAGTTTAGTTTTATGATGCTTTTAGCAATATTTCAGCAATATTACAGCGGGGGACACCAGAAATGGGCTTCACACATTGCACCCATATTGGGAATTGAACCCACTTCTTCAGCGTGACGAGCGAACACTTTCACCACTAGGCCATCCCACCGCCCCGGTTAAGATCTCTGACTTTGACTGACTAAGAGTGTGGGTTTCAGTGGGATTCAACCAAATGAGCACTTTGATTCAACCAAAAGAGTACTAGAATTTGTACTTTACTCTGAAATCCACAACATAATATATGCTAAATTTGACCACTTTCTAAAAGACATTGCATATTCATAATATTGCACTAATTTTGATATTTTCACTCACAGTCTTTATTAGTTGCATGGTGACAATAGAATCATTATTACATCCTGGTTCTTCAAGAAGGGGCTGAATAACAGAAAATCCTTTGCAAGTATAAATATTTTGTTTGGTAGTTAACACTTCACTCAAAGCATGGAACCTTTCTATCTGTCACTTGTCTGAAACATCACATCATATGTTTGTACTGAAACTACCGGGTACCCACCTACACATCGGCCACCTTCTGCAGGTTCAAACCCAGGAGGGCAGTTGAGAGTGCTCCGACAGGTGTAGGAACCAACGTTGTTCACGCACTGCTGGAAGTTCCCACAAATGTTGGGGTATTCCCTGCACTCGTTGAGATCTGCACACATACAACATAACACTCATGTCTTAATCCTTGCATATAAACATTTAGTTTCTGGACTGTGATGCCAAATACAAGAGCAGGTCCCAAATGTCCCTTCTAATAGTTCGTATCAATCATATTCAGTGTGAACAACCAACATAGCATCTGCAAGAACATGTAGATTATATTATGCATTTTCAACATTTGCATACGTCATGTTGCTGTAGAGTATTATTGGAAATGATTCTCACATACCGACACAGTTGCCATTAGGCCCTGGTCTGAAGCCCCTCCGGCAGGAGATCCTTTCACATGCTCCCCGCGCGGGGTTGAAACGGGAACCCTCGGGGCAGGTCTTGGGGACGCAGCGGAAGGAGCCGTTAGTATTCTGACATGCATAGCCACCTCCACAATTATCGATCTTCAGTTCGCACTCGTTGGTGTCTAGAAGGGTAAAAAGATATGGTGTGGATCTCACCATCATGTCAAGTGTCAAGTGTTTATTCTATATGAGTGAGTGAGTCAGTTTAGCTTTACACCGCTTTTAGTAATATTACAGCAATATTGTGGCAGGGAACACCAGAAATGGGCTTCACACATTGTATCCATGCATGGAATCGAACTTGGTTCTTCGTTGTGATGAGTGAACACTTTAACCACTAGGCTACCCCACCGCCCCGTACCTTTAATTACTAGGCTACCCCACCACCCCTTATTCCATAAGAAGGCCACAGGCCCATATACATTATTGAACTACAATTACTTAAGTTTAATAATATTTATCACTTCTTATGTGTGCAATACAAGTATTTAAACAGATGTCTGGTAACATTTTCAATTTTGAAGTCATAAGCGTTTTAAATGTGCTTAAAGACTACCCTGTCTAAAAATGAAAATACTGGTGTTTTAAAGATTTATCAAAATCTATCCATCAGCATATGTTTCCAAAATGTTAATTGTTCCTGCAAACCAGACACTGCATCAGAGGCCAATATCACATCATCCACAAAACAACAACAAATTTTCTAATTTATCCAGGAAGAGCTGAACCAGGTATTTTCAATCGTTATAATACCTACAGATAACTTATTATCAAAAAATGAAAATAGCAAAGGACTTATCATACAACCCTGCCTTACACCTGCCATATAGTCAAAGTAATCAGTGTAGGTATTATTACATAGTACACAAGCTTTTCAAGATGCATAAATGCTCATAAAGGTTCTTAACATTTTACCAAGAAGGCTGATATTTAGCATTCCCAATGTTTATTTCAGTTTACAGAGACAAACAGTTCTCTAAAGATTACAAAAGCTACATACAATTTTTGTTTCCAGCTTTGACACAGCTGCTGTACCAACCAACACATCTCCAGGTGTCTGGGTCTAAGAGTAGCAATTTTCCTCAAAGCTACCTACCAACACATCTCTGGCTCTCTGTGTCGAGGGTGTAGCCCGTTCCGCAGGAGTAGATTCTGCGACAGATGTAGGACCCCACTTTGTTCTCACATCTCTCCCCCGACTGACAGTGGTAGGCCCCCGTAGCGCACTCATTGATGTCTGCAACACAGGAGGCCAGGCATATAGCAACCAAATACTTTGTGATGCACATGTTCTGTAACTTAGATGTATTTAAGGTGGTTAACTTAAGGTTGTTATAAACTTACCTCATGAAGGTGTAGGAATATACTCTGAAACATCGTGTTCCTCATATTACAGAAGTTGACATCAGTTAATGACATCCATCACCCTAAAATGTGTATCACTTCTAAATGCCATCCAAAGACTTAAAACTCAAACTAATTTTCCTTATCGTTTGTTGTGTGCATTTTGATAAAAAAATACACCAAATGAATGGAACCAAACCAAATTCAGTTCGATATATCCATTATCATTACATTCTTTAAAAGTGAACTTTACAGAATCCTCTTTAAACCTGTTGTTTGAGTACTACCAATATGAAAGAAAATTAAATAAATTTGTAAACATTTGTAGAATAAATTGGGGTAGTATTTTAATGAACATTCATCAAAACCTGTGTGACATAACCCATAAACACTGTGAAAATGTTACATAAAGGTTTACTTTATGAGCAACACATATTTCAACACCCCTGGTACAAGATTTCCTATGTTGTTGTTTAATCCTTTAATCAGCAATATTCCAGCTATGTTAATAATCAAGCCTGTAAGTAATCGAGTCTTGACCAGACAACCCAGTGATTGACACACCATGTCATTAGACCATCGGACTGTTGGAGTATGATAACTACACAATATATGGCAATTTATTTCATTGTGTCACCTCTTCCAACAGGCACACGTTGTTGGGACAACTTGTAGTCCAGAATCTCCACAAACATACAGGCTGGTTAGTTACATACAACAGAAAGTTTTTTTACAACTGGACACGATGCATGTCAGTATTAACTAACACTGAAGCACACCATAGTGGACTATCAAACCATGAACTCATTAAAACAATCTGAGTATAGTGACTTTTATGTCGCAGCGCTGTTCATTGTGTAACAATGTTCTGAGTGTAATACATTGTGTATTTAGATCCAGTAAGGGGGTCATAGTGTGCTATATTTATACATGTACTAGATTTAGACAGAAAGATCTGGAACATACTGCATGGTGTGGTTCTAAAGTCTACTGACTCAGAGTGTATTATAAAAGTTTATAGAGAATCTCACCCAAGTCTCTTTTGATATCAAATATATCATCATGAGTTGATAAAGTTACCAAAATCCGAGGCTTGCCGAGGATATATTTACTTTTATCAACGAGTGTTGATATATTTGATATCAGAAGACACGAGGGTGAGATTCTATTTATCATTAAAAATCACTCTTCTTCTGTTTTCAATTACACATGTACATCCCTGAACACGGCACTGCCAAAAGACTTGCAGTGCAGCGATGTCATAGCATTATGACATCATCAGGTTTTTGAGTCATGTAATTGATGACGTCAGGGCATTTTCCAAATCTACTGTCAAAACATCTCACACAAGCAATATTTCCCGTGGAACACAGTTTTGATGATAAATAAGGGAAGCAGGCTATTGCATCTCATTTCACATTACATCTGTAATTACAAGAAGACCAGCATTGTGTACTGATCATTATACAATGCCTAGGCCATTGTTGTACGTTGAATGACTGCCATAAGACTTGCAGTGTAGCAATAACATAGCATTGTGACGTCATCAAGTTCATGCCGTCATAGCATTGTCAGGGCATTGTACAAAATCTACTGTCAATAACTCCTAGACTTGCAGAGCATATCATTGTGACGTCATCTGATCTCACACAAGCAATATCTCCTGTGGAACACAGTTTTGGATGATAAGATACATTTCAATGGAAATGTTGATGAATGGGGCCAACAGATAACACATGTCATGAAAACACATCTATACAAAACAGGAGACGTCACGTAACACGATGGAAGCCATGAGACACTATGGACACAAACAGGAAGACATCACATAATATGCCACTGTTGTCTGTAGATCCACCAACCCAAAGTTACAAGATACATGGCTGATGCACTGTAAGAGAGCACACACTTAGAAAACAGATAACAAATCACATGGACTGTGTTAGCACAACATTAACCACACAGTCAACAACATGTTGCTATTTAACACACAAATGAACTGTTTGTATAGCACATTACTGTCAAGAAAAAATCAAATGTATGCCATGCCATGCTACATGGACACTGCACGCCAGGGAGCCACACAGCCATGCCAGTGTACAGTACCAAGGCACTCTCCCTGCGTCATGTTGTAGTGGTAGCCCTCCACACAGTCACACTTGTACGACCCGTTCAGGTTCACACAGATCTGGTTGTCTCCGTAACAAGAGTGCTGGTAGATTGTACACTCGTCAATGTCTTGAAACAGTAATATACAATCTCTGTCATACTCCCTGTGTAGATGAATGTTGGGAGGGGTGTAATATCACCGAAATATATGTTATATATATCCTGGTACACGTATTTAAACACTTCTTGTCATCAAACAAGTGAAGGACAGTCCCTAAAAACTAACATTACCTGAAACCTCATGGACCTTCCATGTTCAGGACTCATCAAAATCTTATGGGTCAAGTACTTTCCCTGAAAAACAATGTTATTCCATTTGGACTGACTGAGTTTGGTTTTACGCCGCTTTTAGCAATATTCCAGCAATATCACGGCGGGGGACACCAGAAATGGGCTTCACACATTGTACCCATGTGGGGATTCGAACCCGGGTCTTCGGTGTGACGAGCCAACGCTTTAACCACTAGACTACCCCGCAGCCCCTATTCCAGTTGGAAAGAGGCAGACCTAAAACATGGGAAATGACCGAAGAAGCCTCAAGTGATGCAGATCCAGACTTTTCCACTTTGAATAAACTAAGGAACCGACAAACCAGGAAGCCTGGTCAGGGTGAATCTGGGATTTGAACCCATGATCTGGCACACCTAGGGGAGGCAACTCTGTAGTACCTTAAATAATGGGAGCAATGGGCACACAACTTAATAACCCTGGTTTTAAGGAGAGAAGAACTAAACTTTAGCCCAGCAGTAGTTTGGACGCTCACCTTCACATCTGGCAGTGACGCTATTGAATCCATACCCAGGGGCACACTCCATCTCCTGTTCACAGACGCCAGTGGTGGGGTTCTTGGTGTAGCCTGGGGGACAGGTGGAGGGGGTGCATGTGTAACGCCCCATCACATTGATGCACTCCTCATGTCGACCACATCTCGCATAACCAAGCGCACATTCATCAATATCTGCAGGGTACAGGAACACATCCTTATTCAAGTTTAGTTCCAATTAGAGCGAGTGGATTTGAAGATAAACAGATGTACAAATGTTTAAAGCTGGGCACAACTTATAAGCAGGTGTTATATGACTTTTAGAACTGTGATATTAATGTGTAACTATAATGGTTGTGTTGTGGCCACCATGATACATTAGTTGCAAGTGTTGTATAAATGTACAACCATGACAGATGTGTAATAACTGTTGTATAAATGTATAACCATGACAGATGTGTAATAACTGTTGTATAAATGTATAACCATGACAAATGTTTAATAACTGTTGTATAAATGTATAACCATGACAGATGTGTAATAACTGTTGTATAAATGTATAACCATGACATGTGTAATAACTGTTGTATAAATGTATAACCATGACATGTGTAATAACTGTTGTATAAATGTATAACCATGACATGTGTAATAACTGTTGTATAAATGTATAACCATGACAGATGTGTAATAACTGTTGTATAAATGTATAACCATGACAGATGTGTAATAACTGTTGTATAAATGTATAACCATGACAGATGTGTAATAACTGTTGTATAAATATATAACCATGACAGATGTGTAATAACTCATGTATAAATGTATAACCATGACAGATGTGTAATAACTGTTGTATAAATATATAACCATGACAGATGTGTAATAACTCATGTATAAATGTATAACCATGACAGATGTGTAATAACTGTTGTATAAATATATAACCATGACAGATGTGTAATAACTCATGTATAAATGTATAACCATGACAGATGTGTAATAACTGTTGTATAAATGTATAACAATGACAGATGTGTAATAACTGTTGTATAAATATATAACCATGACAGATGTGTAATAACTCATGTATAAATGTATAACCATGACAGATGTGTAATAACTGTTGTATAAATATATAACCATGACAGATGTGTAATAACTCATGTATAAATGTATAACCATGACAGATGTGTAATAACTGTTGTATAAATGTATAACCATGACAGATGTGTAATAACTGTTGTATAAGTGTATAACAATGACAGATGTGTAATAACTGTTGTATACATGAACAGCCATGACAGATGTGATATAATTTTTGTATACATGAACAACCATGACAGATGTGTTATAATTGTTGTATACATGAACAACCATGACGGATGTGTTATAATTGTTGTATACATGAACAACCATGACAGATGTGTTATAATTGTTGTGTAAATGTAAGATCTTGAAGTATGTATTATAATTTGTAAGAAGCAATGCATTTAACGTGATGCTCTCTTGGACTCACGGAGCATGTGGACAATTTCTTGCTGTTGAAGCAATGCATTGGGACTCAGCAGACAAATCTCAGTATAACAGGGGACAATTTCTTTATTTAGAAGCAGTGCTCCCTGGGACTCACCTGAGCATGTGGTCTGATCGCCATTCAGCTCGTAGCCGTCAAAGCAGCTGCACATGACACCGCTAGCATCTTCATCACACTGGTGTTCACAGGGGTTGTTCTCCCCGCAGTTGTAACCCTCTACAGCAACAGTGAGTGAGTTTAGTTTTACGCCAACAGAGGGTGATAACAGGCTTTATCATATACTTATGAATAATATGTACCATTTTGCACATACAATACTGGCTGTCGGCACATGTCCATATTGACCACCCGGGCCGAAAATGGATATCAGCCATATCAGCCTAAGGGCCAAAATCCATATCAGCCGTATTTCCCGGCTACTAAACTGGTATGAATGAATACATGCATATGCTCGAAACTTCAATAGTCAGAGCCTAGTTTATGTTAGAGTTACGTCATTTCATGTGGCATATGATAACAAAGTTATTTCATCACAGTTTCCCTTTCAGTAGTCATATCAGCCCGAGACTACCATATATGTCCTCGGTGGCGAAATAAAAGCTGTCATGTAATAAAATCTTAATATCACATCATCAGTAGAATAACACTGCAGGTAAACAGTATTGATGTAAACTGTACAATATGACATCATTACATGTCTTTTACACCATACCCACCAGTGTATGCCTTTTGAACTGATCATCAGCAATCCTTGCTTGTCATTATTCAAAACTCAGGGGACCAGGTGTTGAGACTCACAGACTTGATTAATATATGTCCTATCCCAATTGCAACATACGTTATATTTGGGATTACACTTTCTTAGTAAAGTACAAATTCTAGTACTTTTCTTGGGTTGAGTCCCATCCGGGATTCGAACCCACACTCTCAGAGTCAGGCACCAAATCACCAGCACACAAAGTCAGACGCCTAGACCGCTCAGACACCGCAACCTCCACAAAAATGGAAGTCGGACAACTGGTAGTCTAGACTGTAGACTTTGTGTACCCCTCTGATAAGACTGTTAATTGGGATGGCTCCCACGGCCGAAAGCTATGTTTACCCAATGCCATTTAGAAAGTGGTCAAATGCAACATATTATATTTGGGATTACAATTTCTTAGTAACGTACAAATTGCAGTTGTATTAAACAACAAAAACAACAAATCAGAGAAACACTCATGCAACAACATGGAATACGGCCACACATAACCTGCCGCGACTGAGCTTAGTGGAAATATACAGAACTAATGGAGATGATTACAAACTTATCTACACATAACCATGCAGACCAAAGAGTTCCAAATACATCACACAACTGTTCCATAGGCAATTATGCTAACACACATTCACACAAAAGTAACATTAACAAAATGACATGACATTAGTACCTTAGTGCCTTACATAAGTACAAACCAAACTGTGAGTCTGTAAACTGAAAAATTCAAATCACATTAGACCAAACCTGATGTACTTACATTATACTATAATAACAGGTTATTCCAAACTGATATGAATTCACTAATGCATGTCAGAGTGGCATCCAAAGGAATTTGTGAACCTCTACAAATGTCAATGAATTTGTCACCAACTGTGAGTCACACAATCTAAATTTGATTTGGACCTTTTTTAATTCCTCTTTTGAATAAGCACATGTGCTTTGTTGCTTTCCCTTGAAGGTCCATGTGGACTTAATCACCTTGGGCATTCTTGAGTCTGCATGTGCGTCCATCAGCGTCCAGGATGTAGCCCTCGCTACACTCACAGCGGAAACTGCCCAGAGTGTTCACACAACGCTGGGAACACAGCTTGTTGGGGAACAGTGCACATTCGTCCTTGTCGTCCTCCCCCTGGTCCCCAATCCCGTTCCCGGGAACACCAGTCCCAGGATCCCCTACAGGCATCATGGTCCGTTAGTAAACACATCAACAAAGGCTTATCAGGCAGGATTAATACTTTAAAACATTGGGCAGAAGTTTTAGTGAAAAATTCCTTTATGCTTTGAAACATATACAGCACAAAAGTAATTAGGGATCATGAGTGTTTTGGGATACTTTTATGATATCCAGTGCTCAGTCTTCACTAAGAAGTAATATATCCCGTAACATTCAAAATCCCTAACTTTTTGTGTCCAATATATAACATGCCACACACTACAGATGTCTAAGAAAGTAAGGTAGCCCTGCTGCCTGTGGCATCACAAACTGAAAAGTTATTGTTTTTTGTGTGAAATTTGTATTGTAACACAGATAAACAATAATTGTGAACATGCAAGGCCTTCTGTTCCCAGCCACTGCATCTGTTGCCATGCCGACGCTCACCTGCTGTTTGGTTCTGTGCTACCTCACGTCCCGAGCAGCACTCCATGAACTTGATGTCACACGGATTCCCATAGGCCGTGCTCTGACAGGACAGACTTGACCTCCGGGCCGTCAGACCCAGCTGACAGCAGTGACAACACTCCTGCAACAAGAAAGAGACATCGTAAACTACAGGGACACCATTCTAAACACACAAGGACATCATCAACAGACACTGTCATTCTAAACACACAAGGACATCATCAACAGACACAGGGACATCATCAACAGTCGGGCATTCTAAACACAAAAGAACATCATCAACAGACAGGCATTCTAAACACACAAGGACATCATCAACAGACAGGGGTATTCTAAACACACAAGGACATCATCAACAGACAGGGCATTCTAAACACACAAGGACATCATCAACAGACAGAGGTATTCTAAACACAGAAGAACATCATCAAAGAGAAGACATCATCAACAACCATTCTAAACACAGAAGAACATCATCATCAACAGACAGGGGTATTCTAAACACACAAGGACATCATCAACAGACAGGGGTATTCTAAACACACAAGGACATCATCAACAGATAGGGGTATTCTAAACACAGAAGAACATCATCAACAGACAGTGGTATTCTAAACACAGAAGGACATCATCAACAGACAGGGTATTCTAAACACACAAGGACATCATCAACAGACAGGGGTATTCTAAACACACAAGGACATCATCAACAGACAGTGGTATTCTTAACACACAAGGACATCATCAACAGACAGGGGTATTCTAAACACACAAGGACATCATCAACAGACAGTGGTATTCTTAAACACACACAACAGACAGGGTATTCTAAACACACAAGGACATCATCAACAGACAGGGGTATTCTAAACACACAAGGACATCATCAACAGACAGGGGTATTCTAAACACACAAGGACATCATCAACAGACAGTGGTATTCTAAACACACAAGGACATCATCAACAGACAGTGGTATTCTAAACACACAAGGACATCATCAACACAGAAGGACACCATCAACAGACAGGGTCATCTGCAACAATACAGACAACAAAGAACTAGGTCATCAAGATGGAGACATCACGAAGAGATCAGGACATCAGAGGCCCAGATAAGCTGACATCCGGTAAAATACGATAGAAAATTCCAATTACGCATTGAAAAATAATTGTTGGCGCATTAATTCACGCTTTTAAAATGTTAGATACGCAAAAATTTAAACAAATGCCATCGAATATATTGATAAAAAATCGCCATGTGAATGAAAAACATCATCGACACATCAAGTTGTACTGTTAGTATAGACAGGTGTTGTACTTCTATAGGATGAGTGATTTTTATGAAATCATTTCCATTATATTTAAGTTGGTTTTGATTAGGTATGACATAAGGCAGAACATACCTGCTTAGTAAACTTACTCAATGACGTAATACTTAGGTGAGTAGAATGACTGAAATACGCCACATATTTGAAAGCAGTGGGTAACGGAAAATGAAATACCCACTCAACATTCGTAACCCACTCCAAAAAATACAGTGGGTACAGTACCCACCACAGAAGGTGAGGTTAGGGAAGGTGAAATTGGGTTTAACGTCGTGCTGGAGAATATTTCGCTCATATGACGACGTGCATGCGTGTGTATGTGTAGGTGCGGCTGCTTGTACTATCACCAACAGACAGGGATATCACCAACAGACAGGGATATCACCAACAGACAAGGATATCACCAACAGGCAAGGATATCATCAACAGACAGGGATATCACCACCAGACAGGGATTTCACCAACAGACAGGGATATCATCAACAGACAGGGGATATCATCAACAGACAATGATATCACCAAGAGACAGGGATATCACCAACAGACAATGATATCACCAAGAGACAGGGATATCATCAACAGACAAGGATATCATCAACAGACAGGGACAGCAACATTAACAGACAGGGACAACACTCCTGCAACAAGACAGGGACATTGTAAACACACAGGACATCATCAACAGACAGGGACATCATCAACAGACAAGGATATCATCAACAGACAAGGATATCATCAACAAACAGTGACAGAGTCCACACATGTCTGCACAGTGTGCAGACGTCTCACCATAAACTGCTCCCTGCCAGGCTCAATGTCCCTGATGGCACAGATCTGCTGGTCCAGGGCCGTCTGCTTGCCCTCGGCACACTTCTGCACATGCACCTCCTTCATACAGCACACCTCCACAATGGCCATACAACTCTGTCGGTCCTCCACGGACACATTGAGGAAGGCGCTGAAGCTGTTGCACCTGCCGCCATCCACCGCCCATTTGACACCCTCCACGCAACATGAGGTGAGAATGTCGTTCAGTCCACCTACAAACACATCAACAGCTATATTGCAATACAAGACAAATCTTATGGATAACAACTTCTTGATTCATTTTTCACAACATTTCTGGGCTAGTTCTTGCCCTTCTTTAGGTGGCAAGGGTTGTGCTAGCAGTCTGTAGCTATACTGGGACCTAGCAGTCTGTAGCTACACTGGGACCTAGCAGTCTGTAGCTATACTGGGACCTAGCAATCTGTAGCTACACTGGGACCTAGCAGTCTGTAGCTATACTGGGACCTAGCAGTCTGTAGTTATACTGTGGCCTAGCAGTCTGTAGCTACACTGGGACCTAGCAGTCTGTAGCTATACAAGGACCTAGCAGTCTGTGGCTATACTGGGACCTAGCAATCTATGTGGCTATACTGGGTCCTAGCAGTCTGTGGCTATACTGGGACCTAGCAGTCTGTGGCTATACTGGGACCTAGCAGTCTGTGGCTATACTGGGACCTAGCAGTCTGTAGCTATCCTGTGGCCTAGCAGTCTGTGGCTATACTGGAACCTAGCAGTCTGTGACTATACTGGGACCTAGCAGTCTGTAGCTATAATGTGGCCTAGCAGTCTGTAGCTATACTGGGACCTAGCAGTCTGTAGCTATACAAGGACCTAGCAGTCTGTGGCTATACTGGGACCTAGCAATCTGTGGCTATACTGGGACCTAGCAGTCTGTGGCTATACTGGGACCTAGCAGTCTGTAGCTATACTGGGACCTAGAAGTATGTAGCTATACTGGGAGCTAGCAGTCTGTGGCTATACAGGGACCTAGCAGTCTGTGGCTATACTGGGACCTAGCAGTCTGTAGATATACTGGGAGCTAGCAGTCTGTGGCTATACTGGGACCTAGCAGTCTGTAGCTATACTGGGACCTAGCAGTCTGTAGCTATACAAGGACCTAGCAGTCTGTAGCTATACAGGGACCTAGCAGTCTGTGACTATACTGGGACCTAGCAGTCTGTAGCTCAATACTGGGGCCTAGCAGTCTGTAGCTATACAAGGACCTAGCAGTCTGTAGCTATACAGGGACCTAGCAGTCTGTGGCTATACAAGGACCTAGCAGTCTGTAGCTACACTGGAACCTAGCAGTCTGCAGCTATACAAGGACCTAGCAGTCTGTAGCTATACAAGCACCTAGCAGTCTGTAGCTATACTGTGACCTAGCAGTCTGTAGCTATACTGTGACCTAGCAGTCTGTAGCTCAATACTGGGACCTAGCAGTCTGTGGCTATACAATTACCTAGCAGTCTGTGGCTATACTGGGACCTAGCATTCTGTGGCTTTACTGGGACCTAGCAGTCTGTGGCTATACAAGGACCTAGCAGTCTGTGGCTATACTGGAACCTAGCAGTCTGTGGCTATACTGGGACCTAGCAGTCTGTGGCTATACTGGGACCTAGCAGTCTGTAGCTATACTGGGACCTAGCAGTCTGTGGCTATACTGGGACCTAGCAGTCTGTGGCTATACTGGGACCTAGCAGTCTGTAGCTATACAAGGACCTAGCAGTCTGTGGCTATACTGGGACCTAGCAGTCTGTAGCTATACTGGGGGCTAGAAGTCTGAGGCTATACTGGGACCTAGCAGTCTGTAGCTATACTGGGACCTAGTAGTATGTGGCTATACTGGGACCTAGCAGTCTGTAGCTATACTGGGACCTAGCAGTCTGTAGCTATACAAAGACCTAGCAGTCTGTGGCTATACTGGGTCCTAGCAGTCTGTGGCTATACAAGGACCTAGCAGTCTGTGACTATACTGGGACCTAGCAGTCTGTGGCTATACTGGGACCTAGCAGTCTGTGGCTATACTGGGACCTAGCAGTCTGTAGCTATCCTGTGGCCTAGCAGTCTGTGGCTATACTGGGACCTAGCAATCTGTGGCTATACTGGGACCTAGCAGTCTGTGGCTATACTGGGACCTAGCAGTCTGTAGCTATACTGGGACCTAGAAGTATGTAGCTATACTGGGAGCTAGCAGTCTGTGGCTATACTGGGACCTAGCAGTCTGTGGCTATACTGGGACCTAGCAGTCTGTAGATATACTGGGAGCTAGCAGTCTGTGGCTATACTGGGAGCTAGCAGTCTGTAGCTATACTGAGACCTAGCAGTCTGTGGCTATACAAGGAGCTAGCAGTCTGTAGCTATACTGGAACCTAGCAGTCTGCAGCTATACAAGGACCTAGCAGTCTGTAGCTATACAAGGACCTAGCAGTCTGTAGCTATACTGGGACCTAGCAGTCTGTAGCTATACAAGGACCTAGCAGTCTGTAGCTATACAGGGACCTAGCAGTCTGTGACTATACTGGGACCTAGCAGTCTGTAGCTCAATACTGGGGCCTAGCAGTCTGTAGCTATACAAGGACCTAGCAGTCTGTAGCTATACAGGGACCTAGCAGTCTGTGGCTATACAAGGACCTAGCAGTCTGTAGCTACACTGGAACCTAGTAGTCTGCAGCTATACAAGGACCTAGCAGTCTGTAGCTATACAAGGACCTAGCAGTCTGTAGCTATACTGGGACCTAGCAGTCTGTAGCTATACTGTGACCTAGCAGTCTGTAGCTCAATACTGGGACCTAGCAGTCTGTGGCTATACAATTACCTAGCAGTCTGTGGCTATACTGGGACCTAGCATTCTGTGGCTTTACTGGGACCTAGCAGTCTGTGGCTATACTGGGACCTAGCAGTCTGTGGCTATACTGGAACCTAGCAGTCTGTAGCTATACTGGGACCTAGCAGTCTGTGGCTATACTGGGACCTAGCAGTCTGTGGCTATACAAGGACCTAGCAGTCTGTGGCTGTACTGGGACCTAGCAGTCTGTAGCTATACTGGGACCTAGCAGTCTGTAGCTATCCTGTGGCCTAGCAGTCTGTGGCTATACTGGGACCTAGCAGTCTGTGGCTATACTGGGTCCTAGCAGTCTGTGGCTATACAAGGACCTAGCAGTCTGTGACTATACTGGGACCTATCAGTCTGTAGCTATACAAGGACCTAGCAGTCTGTAGCTATACAGGGACCTAGCAGTCTGTAGCTATACAAGGACCTAGCAGTCTGTGGCTATACTGGGACCTAGCAGTCTGTGGCTATACTGGGACCTAGAAGTCTGTAGCTATACAGGGACCTAGCAGTCTGTAGCTATACAAGGACCTAGCAGTCTGTAGCTATACTGGGACCTAGCAGTCTGTAGCTATACAGGGACCTAGCAGTCTGTGGCTATACTGGGACCTAGTAGTCTGTAGATATACTGGGAGCTAGCAGTCTGTGGCTATACTGGGACCTAGCAGTCTGTAGCTATACTGAGACCTAGCAGTCTGTGGCTATACAAGGAGCTAGCAGTCTGTAGCTATACTGGAACCTAGCAGTCTGCAGCTATACAAGGACCTAGCAGTCTGTAGCTATACAAGGACCTAGCAGTCTGTAGCTATACTGGGACCTAGCAGTCTGTAGCTATACAAGGACCTAGCAGTCTGTAGCTATACAGGGACCTAGCAGTCTGTGACTATACTGGGACCTAGCAGTCTGTAGCTCAATACTGGGGCCTAGCAGTCTGTAGCTATACAAGGACCTAGCAGTCTGTAGCTATACAGGGACCTAGCAGTCTGTGGCTATACAAGGACCTAGCAGTCTGTAGCTACACTGGAACCTAGCAGTCTGCAGCTATACAAGGACCTAGCAGTCTGTAGCTATACAAGGACCTAGCAGTCTGTAGCTATACTGGGACCTAGCAGTCTGTAGCTAACCTGTGACCTAGCAGTCTGTAGCTCAATACTGGGACCTAGCAGTCTGTGGCTATACTGGGACCTAGCATTCTGTGGCTTTACTGGGACCTAGCAGTCTGTGGCTATACAAGGACCTAGCAGTCTGTGGCTATACTGGAACCTAGCAGTCTGTGGCTATACTGGGACCTAGCAGTCTGTGGCTATACAAGGACCTAGCAGTCTGTGGCTATACTGGAACCTAGCAGTCTGTGGCTATACTGGGACCTAGCAGTCTGTGGCTATACTGGGACCTAGCAGTCTGCAGCTATACAAGGACCTAGCAGTCTGTAGCTATACAGGGACCTAGCAGTCTGTGACTATACTGGGACCTAGCAGTCTGTAGCTATACAGGGACCTAGCAGTCTGTAGCTATACTGGGACCTAGCAGTCTGTAGCTAACCTGTGACCTAGCAGTCTGTAGCTCAATACTGGGACCTAGCAGTCTGTGGCTATACTGGGACCTAGCATTCTGTGGCTTTACTGGGACCTAGCAGTCTGTGGCTATACAAGGACCTAGCAGTCTGTGGCTATACTGGAACCTAGCAGTCTGTGGCTATACTGGGACCTAGCAGTCTGTGGCTATACAAGGAGCTAGCAGTCTGTAGCTATACTGGAACCTAGCAGTCTGCAGCTATACAAGGACCTAGCAGTCTGTAGCTATACAAGGACCTAGCAGTCTGTAGCTATACTGGGACCTAGCAGTCTGTAGCTATACAAGGACCTAGCAGTCTGTAGCTATACAGGGACCTAGCAGTCTGTGACTATACTGAGACCTAGCAGTCTGTAGCTCAATACTGGGGCCTAGCAGTCTGTAGCTATACAAGGACCTAGCAGTCTGTAGCTATACAGGGACCTAGCAGTCTGTGGCTATACAAGGACCTAGCAGTCTGTAGCTACACTGGAACCTAGCAGTCTGCAGCTATACAAGGACCTAGCAGTCTGTAGCTATACAAGGACCTAGCAGTCTGTAGCTATACTGGGACCTAGCAGTCTGTAGCTAACCTGTGACCTAGCAGTCTGTAGCTCAATACTGGGACCTAGCAGTCTGTGGCTATACTGGGACCTAGCATTCTGTGGCTTTACTGGGACCTAGCAGTCTGTGGCTATACAAGGACCTAGCAGTCTGTGGCTATACTGGAACCTAGCAGTCTGTGGCTATACTGGGACCTAGCAGTCTGTGGCTATACAAGGACCTAGCAGTCTGTGGCTATACTGGAACCTAGCAGTCTGTGGCTATACT